TGTCAGTGTCAGGTATGAGAATGAGGAACAGGATGAGAAAGAGTATTGTGCCTTGTGGAACAGAGCTTTTCACTGTAGCCGCCTCTACCTTTACACTGTTAACTGTTACTCTTTGTGTTTTATTTGTTAGGAAGTTATTGATCCATCTACCAACTTTTCCTGTTATTCCTTTATCATGCATTTATGTGCTATGACACCATGATCGCACTTGTCGAAGGCTTTCGCAAAGTCTGTATATACTATATCTGCATTTTATTTGTCCTCCAGAGCATCCAAGACCATGTCATAGTGGTCCAGTAGTTGGGATAAGCAGGAGCGACCTGCTCTAAACCCATGCTGCCCTGGGTTATGCAACTGATGGGTATCTAAGTGGGTGGCGATCTTGCTTCTTAGACCCTTTCAAAGATTTTTATGATATGGGACGTTAGTGCTATTGGTCTGTAATTCTTTGCAACTGCTTTACTGCCACCTTTGTGGAGTGGGGCTGTGTCTGTTGTTTTTAGTGACTGTGGGATGACTCCTGTTTCCATGCTCCCTCTCCATAGAATACTTAGGCATGTGAAAGGGGCTTCTTGTAGTTCTTGATGAACACGGAGTTCCACGAGTCTGGGCCTGGGGCACAGTGCATGAGCATGTCATTTATTGCTTTTTCAAAGTCCTGTGGTGTATCACTGTAGGCAACAAGAGCATTTCACCCCTCCATGGAAGATGTGTTCATTTAATATCACATACCTGCAAGTCCCTCCCAAGAAGCTCATTGCTAGCAATCCCTTCCTTAAATCACTTGTTAAAGCAACTGCTAAAGAAGAAATTTCTCGCCTAGCTGGTAGTATTAAGTTATCACAAGTTATATGCACTGATGGATCTAAACAGGAGTCTTCTGGCAGGGCTGCATCTACTCTTGTTGCCACCTCCCTAGTTAAGAACCATAATAAATTTGTTGAGTTAGGCATAAGAATTAACAACTGAGCGTCTACACTGCAAACTGAATTGTTTGCAATCCTAATGACACTGAGCTTGACTATCATCATTGCTGATTCTATGTCATCATTGAAGGCTCTTGACTCATATAATGACTCCAACAACATGCTCATTGGAGAAGCCAGGTATAGATACTCAAAAATCAGGGACAAAGGAATTAATGTACAGTTGCTATGGATCCCATCACACATTGGATTACTCCTTCATGATAAAGTTGATATGTTAGCCAAGAAGAGTACCCAGAAGGAGAATGTAGAATATAACTTTGGTATAACTGTGTCTAGCATTAGGAATAATATTAGGAGAGAGGTAAATAATGAAAATAATTGTTATAGGAATGCAATTAGAAGCCTGAGTAGATCTATAACCCACTATGATAACATGAACGTAGATAAGTATGTTTATGGAGCAATGTGAACAGACTGATGTTGTAGTGGCCAGGCTTAGTCTTGGTTACAAGTACTGACTGATGTTGTATAGTGGCAATGCTAATTAGACTTGGCTACAAGTACTGACTGATGTTGTAGTGGCCAGACTTAGTCTTGGTTACAAGTACTGACTGATGTTGTATAGTGGCAATGCTAATTAGACTTGGCTACAAGTACTGACTGATGTTGTAGTGGCCAGACTTAGTCTTGGTTACAAGTACTTCTGGCAGTTTGGGAGACACACAGATGATGATCAGACTAAATGTAAATTATGTGATCAGGCATATGATCACTGTCTTGAACACTATGTGCTTAATTGTCCACTTATTGAGGAATACAGAGACAGACAGTATAATAACCTATGTGACATGTCAAGATATCTTATTAATGAAAATAAGATACAAGATATACTAAGCAAATTTCCTAAATTTGCTTGTAACAGATAAGTGAACTATAGATATGTAGATATAAATCCATATGTATTCCTATTAACCCTTTGGGGCCTAGTTCCTGGGCCTTTTGTGTATCCATATGCTCTCGCGCTACCATCCACAGGATGGATATGGGGTGCACAATAAACTAGCTACTTCGGTGGCAAAATCTAAAATCTGTGGTGTTAGGTTAATATCAGAAATTTTTGAATTAACCAAGGAGAAAGATTTATTTTTTTAGTGGGTTTTGCAGCCTTCAATTTTCTAATTTGATTAATATAATTTTTGGAGTATCATACTCTTCTGGACCACTAAAATCTTAGGTTATCAAGCTAATAAATTGAACAGACCTTTACAACATTTCAAACCTCACCATGTAAATCTTTTTTGCAATTCCCTTTAGCCGTTTAGATATTTTTTATCCAAAACCTATGAAAAATATTAAATATTAAGCTGAATTTTCAATACGATATTTATATATATTTTTTACAGTGCTATGGTCCACTATGCATCCTTTCACAGAATAATAACGTGAGTTTCAGTAAGATCAATATTGGTTTTCGGGATATAAATGGATGTACAAACCTCTGAAAATCAATCTTAGAGACACTGAACATTTTTTCTAAGTCCTATAACTCTACAGCAAGGCCAGGAGCTGAGAATCGACCCTTACAACCATAAATAGATGAGTGAGTAGGCATATACTGTATAAATATGCATACTTATGCACACAGTGGGACAGAGAACTGGCAGGGAAGCCAGTTAATGAGATGATGGAATATGTAGCAACAAAATGCAAGGAGGCTGAGGAGAGGTTTGTACCCAAGGGTAACAGGAATAATGAAAAAGCCAGGATGAGCCCATGGTTTACCCAAAGGTGCAGGGAGGCAAAAACCAAGTGTGCTAGGGAATGGAAGAAATATAGAAGGCAAAGGACCCAGGAGAATAAGGAGAGCAGTCGTAGAGCCAGAAACGAATATGCACAGATAAGAAGGGAGGCCCAAAGACAATATGAAAACGACAGAGCAGCAAAAGCCAAATCTGACCCGAAACTGTTGTACAGCCACATCAGGAGGAAAACAACAGTCAAGGACCAGGTAATCAGGCTAAGGAAGGAAGGAGGAGAGACAACAAGAAATGACCGTGAAGTATGTGAGGAACTCAACAAGAGATTCAAAGAAGTGGTCACAGAGGAGTCAGAAGGGGCTCCAGAAAGACGGAGAGGTGGGGCACACCACCATGTACTGGACACAGTGCACACAACCGAGGAAGAAGTGAAGAGGCTTCTGAGTGAGCTAGATACCTCAAAGGCAAAGGGGCCAGATAACATCTCCCCATGGGTATTGAGAGAGGGAGCAGAGGCACTATGTGTACCCCTAACAACAATATTCAATACATCTATCGAAACAGGGAGATTGCCTGAGGCATGGAAGACAGCAAATGTAGTCCCAATCTTTAAAAAAGGAGACAGACATGAAGCATTAAACTACAGACCAGTGTCACTGACATGTATAGTATGCAAGATCATGGAGAAGATTATCAGAAGAATGGTGGAACACCTAGAAAGGAATGATCTCATCACCAACAGCCAACATGGTTTCAGGGACGGGAAATCCTGTGTCACAAACCTACTGGAGTTCTATGACATGGTGACAGCAGTAAGACAAGAGAGAGAGGGGTGGGTGGATTGCATTTTCTTGGACTGCAAGAAGGCGTTTGACACAGTTCCACACAAGAGATTGGTGCAAAAACTGGAGGACCAAGCAGGGATAACAGGGAAGGTACTACAATGGATCAGGGAATACTTGTCAGGAAGACAGCAGCGAGTCATGGTACGTGGCGAGGTGTCAGAGTGGGCACCTGTGACCAGCGGGGTCCCACAGGGGTCAGTCCTAGGACCAGTGCTGTTTCTGGTATTTGTGAACGACATGACGGAAGGAATAGACTCTGAGGTGTCCCTGTTTGCGGATGACGTGAAGTTGATGAGAAGAATTCACTCGATCGAAGACCAGGCAGAACTACAAAGGGATCTGGACAGGCTGCAGACCTGGTCCAGCAATTGGCTCCTGGAGTTCAATCCCACCAAGTGCAAAGTCATGAAGATTGGGGAAGGGCAAAGAAGACCGCAGACGGAGTACAGTCTAGGGGGCCAGAGACTACAAACCTCACTCAAGGAAAAATATCTTGGGGTGAGTATAACACCAGGCACATCTCCTGAAGCGCACATCAACCAAATAACTGCTGCAGCATATGGGCGCCTAGCAAACCTCAGAACAGCATTCCGACCTCTTATTAAGGAATCATTCAGGACCCTGTACACCGTGTACGTTAGGCCCATATTGGAGTATGCGGCACCAGTTTGGAACCCACACCTAGCCAAGCACGTAAAGAAACTAGAGAAAGTGCATAGGTTTGCAACAAGACTAGTCCCAGAGCTAAGAGGTATGTCCTACGAGGAGAGGTTAAGGGAAATCAACCTGACGACACTGGAGGACAGGAGAGATAGGGGGGACATGATAACGACATACAAAATACTGAGAGGAATTGACAAGGTGGACAAAGACAGGATGTTCCAGAGATTGGACACAGTAACAAGGGGACACAGTTGGAAGTTGAAGACACAGATGAATCACAGGGATGTTAGGAAGTATTTCTTCAGCCACAGAGTAGTCAGGAAGTGGAATAGTTTGGGAAGCGATGTAGTGGAGGCAGGATCCATACATAGCTTTAAGCAGAGGTATGATAAAGCTCACGGCTCAGGGAGAGTGACCTAGTAGCGATCAGTGAAGAGGCGGGGCCAGGAGCTCGGACTCGACCCCCGCAACCTCAACTAGGTGAGTACAACTAGTTGAGTACGTATACCTATATGTATATATATACGTGCACTCATACATTATGCATAAGTTTACTACCCTTCGGTTCCTTGGATCAAACCTGATTACCTCATATTTTACTTTGGTTTTCCTTCAGGACGGTTTCCTTGACACTGGTGAAAGACTTTTGGTCCAAAGAAGTGAAGCTTCCCTTCCCTTCCCTTCCTTTGATCGAGCTTGATTACTTCCTCTTCCCAATGTATTGTAAGACCTTACCAGGTTTTGCACTTCCCCATGAATGCAATAATAATAATTTGTTCTTTATGTATTTTTTCTTTCCTGTTTAGTGAGTAGTGTCAGCCATTGAAGTGCTGGTGTGTGAGGATGAGGACGTGGGTGGTGGTGGCACTGACGGTGGCACTGACGGTGGCACCCTCTCTGGCCTTCCAGCCTCGACGCATCATGTTTGCTCGCTGCACAGCAGGTACCTCACTCTCCTGGTCTTTATCCTTAGGTTCAGCGCTTTTCATGAATATACCTTAAAATGTTTAGTCCTTCTGCAGTGTTTAGAGGAATTTCGTAATTATATGCTTTACTTTGCTGTTATTAACATCGTCTTTTGCTGAGTCTCTGGTCATTGTGGTGTTCAGGGCAATGAACTTACACACTCTTCTGCACTTTTTGTGGTTCAGGATTATCAATCTCTGCCCTTTTCAGGCTATTTTACAGTTTTCTCTTCAAGCATTCATTATTATTATTATTATAATCAAGGGGGAAGCGCTAAACCCGGAGGATTATACAGCGCCTGGGGGGGGGGATGTGGAAGGCATTCAGGCTTAATTCGGGGAACTGGAGCACAGATCCAATTCCCTAAATCAAGAGCCCCTCACCAACATCAAGGAACCTTCCTTGAGGGGTTCAAGCATTCAGGATAGGTGGGAGCGTCATTGGATCGGGTTAGAGGATAACACGCTTTTATTAATCAAATTAGCCACTTCTTGGATGACTTTTTTTTTTTTTTGGTTGCCTTGTTTGGAAATAGTTCTTGTGTGACTACTTACTGGCCACACAAGACACACACTGAAGCCCCTTACTCCTCTTTGCAACTCCGTCAGGTCTTATTGACAGTCCCACATTTTTTTATTTTATCAAAGAACAAATAAAATTAATTTCTGGTCTCTTTTCACTTTGTTTTTTCAAAATGTTCAGTTTTCTATTTCCATTATTATTATTGTAATAAAAAAAAAGAAGCGCTAAATATTTTTATTAATATTATAATCAAAACCAAGCGCTAAACCACAAGGGTATTAAAAGAGGATAACATCAAAGCTGCTTTCATAGACAACCTGGAAGCTTTCTACAACAGATGGGAACATAAAAAGTCTGGGCTGAATGGTACTGCCCTTGATACTGGCCATGTAGTCAGAAACTGTAAGGCTGGAGATGAAGTCCTGGTAGTCAGTAAATGTGGGGCTGATAGTGCTGTCCTGGGAGACAGTAATGGTGAAGCTGGAGGTGCTGTCCTGGGAGACAGTAATGGTGAAGCTGGAGGTGCTGTCCTGGGAGACAGTAATGGTGAAGCTGGAGGTGCTGTCCTGGGAGACAGTAATGGTGAAGCTGGAGGTGCTGTCCTGGGAGACAGTAATGGTGAGGCTGGAGATTTTGTCCAGGTAGTCGGGAATTATACGCAGGAAGGAATACATATAAATGACCTCATAGGGGACAGGAGCCGTAGTGGGGAAACAAGTGTAGTCAAAGATAAGATAAAACCAATATTGCAAACTAGAAATACCACAGGAAATAGCAAAAAGAGGACTCCACTAGCTATAGTGAGGATATATTACCAAAAACAACTGGTGGGAGCTCCATTGTTGGTGCTAGGGAGGATAGGAATAAGACAGGGAAACATGCACCAACAGGGAATACAGTCACAGAAACCCAAGGCAAAAGGAAACCAAGCCTGTGCACATACTATGCACTTCGTATCTGCAGACATGGGAAATCTGGAAAAACAGACGGGACGTGCAACTATGACCACCCTAGAAAATGCCATGCCCATATGACAACAGAAAAATGCAAACTCCCTTCCTGTAAGCTTTTTCACCCTGAACTGTGTACCTCTTCAGTACAGGAAAGACTGTGCTATAACTTAAATTGCCAGGCACACCATCTAAAGGGTACAAAAAGATACAAAACATCCAGGCCATGGGAAAACATGGGTAGCCACAGCCACTCAAGAGGGAGAGGTTTTTTAGTGCCAGGAAGGAAAAAAAAATGACAGGAAATGGCAGAAATCGTACACCAAATCCAGTCATTCCTGGAGTGGAACCACAGTCGATGGCCTCCACTCCAAACCAACAGATACAGATACTAATCCCGGAAAAAAAATCCCTCCCCAGTACCAACAATACCACCAGTCCGATGACATTCTTCTTTGTAAATATACAGGGTCTAAAGCCAGCAACAAACAACAAAATACCTTTCATCCGTGGACTGCTTGCAGAGGCAAAGGCAATGTTCGCGGCTTTCACTGAGACCCACATAAAGGATCACTTGGACAACAAAATATGGATCCCAGGTTACAACCTATACAGATGTGACAGAGTGAACAGGCAAAAGGTTGGGGGGGGTTGGCCTGTACATTGCAGAGTCACTTGTTTGCACAGAACTGCTAAATGCCTCAAATGTAGTGGAAGTTTTAGCAGTTAAGGTCGAGAACCAAAACCTAGTCATTGTGGTAGTCTACAAGCCTCCGGATGCAACATCCCAGCAATTCCAGGAACAGCTGTTAAAAATTGACCACTGTCTGGAAAATCTTCCAGCTCCTGCACCCAACATCTTGCTCCTGGGGGATTTCAACTTAAGGCACCTAAAATGGAGGAATATAGCAAATAATATTGTTGCAGTAATAACACCAGGAGGCAGCTCTGATGAAAACTCACACTCACACGAGCTTTTAAATCTCTGCACAAAATTCAATTTAAACCAGCAAATAATAGAGCCTACTAGACTGGAGAATACACTAGACCTCATCTTCACTAACAATGATGATCTGATAAGAAATGTCACCATATCAAAAACAATATACAGTACTCAGATCACAACATAATTGAGGTTCAGACATGTATGCGTGGAGCCCCAGACCGACATAATGAGACTAGTCACGAGGGAGCATTCACCAAATTCAACTTCAATAATAAAAACATAAAGTGGGACCAAGTAAACCAAGTCCTAACCAATATAAGCTGGGAAGATATACTAAGCAACACAGACCCCAACGTATGCCTAGAACAGATTAACTTGGTGGCACTCGATGTATGCACAAGGCTTATTCCTCTAAGAAAAAGGAGTAGATGTAAAATAGAAAGAGACAGGCGCTCCCTTTACAGGCGACGGAAAAGAATAACAGTCAATATATCTGAAATGCGTAGGGAGACACTGGTCAGAGAAATAGCAAGCATCGAACTCAAGCTAAAGGAATCTTATAGGAGTCAGGAATCGCGGGAAGAACTAAAAGCCATAAATGAAATCGAAAGAAACCCAAAGTATTTCTTCTCCTATGCCAAATCAAAGTCGAGAACAACATCCAGTATTGGGCCCCTACTTAAACAAGATGGGTCCTACACAGATGACAGCAAGGAAATGAGTGAGCTACTCAAGTCCCAATATGACTCAGTTTTTAGCAAGCCGCTAACCAGACTGAGAGTCGAAGATCAAAATGAATTTTTTATGAGAGAGCCACAAAATTTGGTTAACACAAGCCTATCCGATGTTATCCTGACGCCAAATGACTTCGAACAGGCGATAAATGACATGCCCATGCACTCTGCCCCAGGGCCAGACTCATGGAACTCCGTGTTCATCAAGAACTGCAAGAAGCCCCTATCACGAGCCTTTTCCATCCTATGGAGAGGGAGCATGGACACGGGGGTCGTCCCACAGTTACTAAAAACAACAGACATAGCCCCACTCCACAAAGGGGGCAGTAAAGCAACAGCAAAGAACTACAGACCGATAGCACTAACATCCCATATCATAAAAATCTTTGAAAGGGTCCTAAGAAGCAAGATCACCACCCATCTAGAAACCCATCAGTTACACAACCCAGGGCAACATGGGTTTAGAACAGGTCGCTCCTGTCTGTCTCAACTATTGGATCACTACGACAAGGTCCTAAATGCACTAGAAGATAAAAAGAATGCAGATGTAATATATACAGACTTTGCAAAAGCCTTCGACAAGTGTGACCATGGCGTAATAGCGCACAAAATGCGTGCTAAAGGGATAACAGGAAAAGTCGGTCGATGGATCTATAATTTCCTCACTAACAGAACACAGAGAGCAGTCGTCAACAGAGTAAAGTCCGAGGCAGCTACGGTGAAAAGCTCTGTTTCACAAGGCACAGTACTCGCTCCCATCTTGTTCCTCATCCTCATATATGACATAGACAAGGATGTCAGCCACAGCACCGTGTCTTCCTTTGCAGATGACACCCGAATCTGCATGACAGTGTCTTCCATTGCAGACACTGCAAGGCTTCAGGCGGACATCAACCGAATCTTTCAGTGGGCTGCAGAAAACAATATAAAGTTCAACGATGAGAAATTTCAATTACTCAGATATGGTAAACACGAGGAAATTAAATCTTCATCAGAGTACAAAACAAATTCTGGCCACAAAATAGAGTGAAACACCAACGTCAAAGACCTGGTAGTGAATGTCGGAGGATCTCACCTTCAAGGACCATAACATTGTATCAATCGCATCTGCTAGAAAAATGACAGGATGGATAATGAGAACCTTCAAAACTAGGGAGGCCAAGCCCATGACGACACTCTTCAGGTCACTTGTTCTATCTAGGCTGGAATATTGCTGCACACTAACAGCACCTTTCAAGGCAGGTGAAATTGCTGACCTAGAAAATGTACAGAGAACCTTCACGGCGCGCATAACTGAGATAAAGCACCTCAATTACTGGGAGTGCTTGAGGTTCCTGAACCTGTATTCCCTGGAATGCAGGTGGGAGAGATACATGATTATATACACCTGGAAAATCCTAGAGGGACTAGTACCGAACTTGCACACGAAAATCACTCACTACGAAAGCAGAAGACTTGGCAGACGATGCAACATCTCCCCAATGAAAAGCAGGGGTGTCACTAGCACGTTAAGAGACCATACAATAAGTGTCAGGGGCCCGAGACTGTTCAACTGCCTCCCAGCATACATAAGGGGGATTATCAACAGACCCCTGGCAGTCTTCAAGCTGGCACTGGACAAGCACCTAAAGTCGGTTCCTGACCAGCCGGGCTGTGGCTCGTACGTTGGTTTGCGTGCAGCAACAGCCTGGTTGATCAGGCTCTGATCCACCAGGAGGCCTGGTCACAGACCGGGCCGCGGGGGCGTTGACCCCCGGAACTCTCTCCAAGTAAACAAACTCATCAAATTTCTATTAAGACTCACTTTTTGACCCAAATTGACTTATGCCACCTTTAACTCTCCTTGTAAATGCATGATGATCTTACTCTTCCCACTACTTTACGGATAGCCTCCCACAGTTAGTTTAATATGCTTATTATGCACTCTGTACCCATCCTGCGAGCTTCCCACAGCCTTGTAAGTTTGGTACATTTTGTGTACACAGTACTGTATAATATCGTATAATTTTTTGTGTATAAAATCATGCTGACTTATTTTTTTTACTGCACTGTACATATAAAACACATTGGTCACTGGATTTGATCTTTTTTTTTTTTTGTTAGAAGAGAAGATGCCCCGGGCAGTGTTCATGACGTGTGCCAACCGTCGTGGTGTGTGTGAGGTGAGGGTAGGCAATACCCATAATCTGCAAGCAGTCTTTTTATCAGGTCTGTAATTACACATACTTTTTATTACTTCTGGAGCTTCCCCTTCTTGTGTAACTCTCGTTTGATTATTTGTGAATAACCTATCAAAGAATGTAATTAAGCCTTCCATCAGACCCCTCCCACTGTTTAGATATGTAAAAATTTAAAGTCATCTAAAACCCTATCACAGAGTCCATTAAGTGTAATCAGAGTATCTCCCTCAACTGTGATTATAACTTTTATATTAAGCGGAAAGTGCTAAATCCGTAGGGGGTCATACTGCATATGGGTAATACAAGGTCTAATAATGTAATATATTTAGGGAAAACACTGAACCCATAGGGTTGTTACAGTGCCTGGGTACTGAGCAGTAATGAGGTCTGAGCTAAGGAAGTGGAGGGTAACTCCAATTCCCTATATGTATCAAGAACCCTTCAGCATTAAAGTAACCTTAAAGGGATGAATTATCACATTAGGCATTCTCTTTTCTCACAAATTACCACATATGATGGTCTACAGACACGAATGCGACTGATGTGGACTCATACGTTCGCTGGAACTCGTGGTTCGAGGTGCCACTGCCGGGACAGGAGCGGAATGCCTGTGATGGCAGCCTACGCTGCCCAGTCATCAAAGGTCACGTTACACGTTTCACCTACTCCCTTGACATCCAGGATTTCTGGCCTAGGGTAAGCACATTCCAGGAGGAAGCAAGGCCTCCATAATCCTTTTGCCTCTGCTTCCTTCTCTCTATTCTTACACATATGTCAGGCCCATTTTTAAGCATGCAGCACTGGCAAGGAACCCACACATAAAAAAACATGTTAAGAAACTGAAGAAATTGCAGAAGTATGCAACAAGACTAGGTCCAGACAAAGGGTATGAGCTATGAAGAGAGTTTAATGGAACTGAATCTAATGACACTGGATGAAAGAAACACCAAGGAAGACACAATAAAAACATAAAATACTGAGGAATTCATTGGGCAAATAGGGACAGGCTGTTGGAAAGGCAGGAAACAGGTACTCGAGAGAGTTGCTGGTTGAGTCACAGGGATGTTACGAAGTATTTCTTCAGCACTGGATAGTCAGGAAGTGACAAAGGAATGTTGGAAGAAGATTCCATGAATAGTACAGTATTATGAACAGGTACAACAACATGATCAGGTTAAGCACTAAACACAGAGTCATACAACATTTCAAGGAGGGACGTTTGAAGGACGGGGTAGTGAGGGGCAGGAGTGTGCAAAAATAGGGTTCAGCGAGGGTAGAGAAGAGCACGAGCAAAATCTTTATCAAAGTTGGAGCAATTGGCGAGTGCCTGTTAAAAAGTCGGAGAGAGTCTGCATCAAAAGTGGAACTTTCAGTGAAGAGGTTGATTAGTGTGTGTTGGGGTGGCAAAGGCAGGTATGAAAGAGCCCACGAGTCTGTATATTAGTGTATTTTGCTGCCTCCATAGTAAATTTATCATTTCCTGATCATTTTATTTAATTTCTATCTTAATATTAAGCCCAGTATTGGGCAGTTTTGTATATTGAAGATATTTATCACTTAAATAGTAAATCTTCTTTTTTGTACTCTCATCTCTATCTCTCTTTTAATAATAATACATGACCCTTGTAGGTTTAGCACTTCTTTTTGATAATAATAATAATAATACACAATTAAAATTTACCATTCAGCAACTTGTGTCTAGTGTAAGTAGTCTGTAAGCATTACCATTAATTTTGCCTGAAATACTCATGCATGCTAGTGGCTTTCTTTGTGCTTAACAATATTTTATTACATGTAAACTACACATTGTATGCTATGCAAAGAAAATAAAAATTTTGAATTGAATGTAACATTGTAACATTTCTATTTATAAAATCTAGATGGGTCTATGAAAGATGAGGTGAATCATAGAATTGATGAGGGAAAAAGAGTGAGTGGTGCACTTAGGAGTCTGTGGAGACAAAGAACTTTGTCCTTGGAGGCAAAGAGGGGAATGTACGAGAGTATAGTTTTACCAACGCTCTTATATGGGTGTGAAGCATGGGTGATGAATGTTGCAGCGAGGAGAAGGCTGGAGGCAGTGGAGATGTCATGTCTGAGGGCAATGTGTGGTGTGAATATAATGCAGAGAATTCGTAGTTTGGAAGTTAGGAGGAGGTGCGGGATTACCAAAACTGTTGTCCAGAGGGCTGAGGAAGGGTTGTTGAGGTGGTTCGGACATGTAGAGAGAATGGAGCGAAACAGAATGACTTCAAGAGTGTATCAGTCTGTAGTGGAAGGAAGGCGGGGTAGGGGTCGGCCTAGGAAGGGTTGGAGTGAGGGGGTAAAGGAGGTTTTGTGTGCGAGGGGCTTGGACTTCCAGCAGGCATGCGTGAGCGTGTTTGATAGGAGTGAATGGAGACAAATGGTTTTTAATACTTGACGTGCTGTTGGAGTGTGAGCAAAGTAACATTTATGAAGGGATTCAGGGAAACCGGCAGGCCGGACTTGAGTCCTGGAGATGGGAAGTACAGTGCCTGCACTCTGAAGGAGGGGTGTTAATGTTGCAGTTTAAAAACTGTAGTGTAAAGCACCCTTCTGGCAAGACAGTGATGGAGCGAATGATGGTGAAAGTTTTTCTTTTTCGGGCCACCCTGCCTTGGTGGGAATCGGCCAGTGTGATAATAATAATAATAATAATAATAAAATAGGTAATGCATGTATGTACTGTAGTAAGAGGAGAATACAGGAGGCCATCCACATTCGCGAGGGTTAGGGGATCAAGAACCTTGCAAATCTTGAAAGTTTGTGAATGTTTGGTGCATAAATATGATGTAGGGAAATATAATAATACTGTACTATAGCATTTGCAAATGTTTTGATGTGCAAATATATTTTAGGGAAATATAATAATAGCATTTACTTAGCCTAACATTACTGCTTCCTTAACCTATTGAATCATGAACAATCATAAAACACACGAAGACATCATAAAAAATTCTTCATTATTTGTTATGGTTTAATAACAAATAATGAACTGGGCATTCGCGAATGTTCAAAGCTCACGAAAGTGGAGGGCTAGCTGTATGTAAGTATAAAAGGTATGGTACAATGGGTAACAGAGCAGTTTGTTAGATTATACATTTAGGTGGATAAAAGGTTAAACTTCTGTATTTATTATACATACTTTAAGATTAATGTAGGGAGGTACCACCTCTAGTTGCAACAAGAGGAAGGTGGAGTAAAAGGAGAATAGTCAGTTTGTAAAATAGAAGTGAGTGAATTAATGAAGGGGACTAAGAGGTATGAGAAACTGTTGGGAGTAAGGTGGGCTAGAGTGAGAGACATAAAAAGGTCAAGCTGGTATGGTGTGGGTTAAAGAATGCAATGCTAATATGTCTAGCAGAGATGTATGGTTATATGAGGGTGGTTGCACGAGGGAGGAAGAAAGATGGTGGAATGAAGAGGTATATTGGATGGCAAGGAAGAAAACTGTAAAGTATAAAGTTTTTTAATAAGAAAAATATTGTAATGTGTGTGTGATATAGTACATCACACACATTACATGATATATATGACACACGATATACATCATACACACCTGGAGGGGAGGGAGTAAGGAAGAAGTGAATGTGTTCGGATATTTGGGAGTAGACTTGTCAGTGGATGGGTTTATGAAGAACGAGGTTAACCATAGAATTAATGAAGAAAAAAAGGTAAGTGGTGCATTGAGGTATCTGTGCAGACAAGAAACTTTATCCATGGAGGCAAAGAAGGGAATGTATGAAAGTATAGTGGTACCAACACTCTTATATGGGTGTGAAGCATGGGTTGCAAATGCTGCAGCAAGGAGGAAGCTGGAGGCAGGAGAGATACCATGTTTAAGGGCAATGTATGGTGTAAATATTATGCAGAGAATTCATAGTGTGGAAATTAGAAGAGGTGTGGGGTTACTAAAAATATTATTCAGAGGGCTGAAGAGAGGTTGTTGATGTGGTTTGGTCATTTAGAGAGGATGGAACAAAATATGATGACTTTGTGGGTGTATAAATCTGTAGTGGAGGGAAGGAGGGGTAGGGGTCATCCTAGGAAAGGATGGAGGGAGAGGGTAAAAGAAGTTTTGTGTGCAAGAGGCTTGGACACAGCAGACACATGTGAGCATGTTAGATGGAGTGGAGATGAATGGTTTTGGGGACTTGACAAGCTGTTGGAGTGTGAGAAGGGTAGTATTTTGTGAAGGATTCAGGGGAAACTGATTAGTAGGATTTGAGTCCTGGAAGTGGAAAGTACAATGCCTGCACTTTAAAGGAGGGGTTTGGAGTGACATCTGAACTGTCGTATCTGAGCGCTTCTGCAAAGACTGATTATGTGTGAAGTGAAGGACAGTAAGTGGAGCCAGTATGAGAATGGGGAAGTTATTGTCAACAGATTTTGCTAGGATACTGTTTAGGAGATAAAGTAAGCCTTAATACACCCTCTCTTCACTTAGCGATGTACATGCTTGTTTACCGACGCCTCAGACTTACGATGGGCTCTCTGACCAGCATTCATACATAAATAATGTATATTAGAGCTGATTTCCTCTGTTCTGTTTACTTAAGTATACAGTACACTACTGTATAAACATTTAAAAATATACCAGAAATGTTATAAATGGTGCATTGGTGACATTAAGACAATATCAAGGATGGTTGACACAAACTCACTACCATTATAGTATGCTCCTCACTTACTGATGAATTCGTTTAACGACGTGGTCTCAGGAACGAAACTCCGTCTCTAAGTGAGAAGAGGCTATATAGTCAAGTAGTGCCTAGGATTTGTCAGTAAACAGTGACAGTGGTAGGATGTTAGATGGAGATATTTGAGATGGAAATTTATCTTAAAAATGTTGGATTTACCATACAAAGAAACTGCAAATCTCACTTAAGCAATTAAGACACATAATAAATTTGCCCTTTAATAACTTGTGCACACTGAAAACTTTGGTTTCTCTCTCTCGGTATGTCTACAGAGTTTATTTATTGTACAGGACTTTAGTATACTGGATAGATTTATATAAATAATTGCAGTAATATAATTTCTCATTCTCTCCCAATCTCATTCACTATCTTGTGGCTTCTCTAATGGTACTTGTTTGTACTGGTAGGATGAATACCCTGTGATATGGACACTGAGTGACAGGAACACCGATGAATCGCTTGTGTGCTTCAAATTCAAGATCAATATTGTGTAGAGCAGCAGCTGCCACCTCAGCACCGCCTGGTTGTCTGCATGATAGCCATCCTGCCAGTGCTGGTCTTGACCTCACTTGCTTAAATTTAAAGCCATTACCTCTTAAACGTCGTAAGACAACAAGATAAAAAAAGTAAATGAGATAGGGTTAGAATATTATGTGAAGAAATCATTATTATTACATTCATAAAGAAATGATAAACCCATTGGTGTCATAGTGCCTGGGGAACAGGAGGTAATTTAGTTTGATTCAAGGAAGGGTAGCTCCAATTCCTTGGATTAAGAGCCCTTTCCTAGCCAAGGCCTCCTTTCCCTGTAGGGTTGTTCAAAATACTATACTATATGGCATATAACAGGGTGCTAATCCCACAGGAGTCATACAGTGCCTGGAGGAATGGGAGACATTTAAGTTCAATCCAAGGAAGGGGAGGGTAGGTCTATTTCCATAGAGCAAGAAATAGATTGTCTGGCTAGGCATAAAGCCAATTGAAACTTCATGTATATATTATACAGAATAGTAATTATGTTTAACTCTTATGGTACCAGTGACATATTCTATGCTGCATTATAGTATTATCCTTTACACAGCTACTAGGCTATCTCAACTTTCACCTGACAAACTGATATTACTGAAATAGGTATCAATCTTATCTCTTTTGTATTCAGAGTAAAGTTTTGCATAGGTACAGTTTTGTACCTTAAACATTCCTAACTCCCATTGTTCAATATAAGAAAATGATTTAGTTTGGGTTTCTCTCCAGTTTTTTTCTTAAATGCAGTAAATCTGTATGATTTAGATACAAATTTTAAAGAAAGTTTGCCTATAGGTTGCATTTGGGTCATTTAGGCAAGATTTTACCTGTACACTAACAAAAATACTTTCATCCTAAAATAGGAGTTAAAATAAGCAGTGTATTTACACAACTGTACATACATATGTTGTGTATCTTTATATGTTTATGCTTCTAGACTGTTGTATTCTGAGCACCTCTGCAAAAACAGTGATAATGTGCGAGTGTGGTGAAAGTGTTGAATGATGATGAAAGTATTTTCTTTTTGGGGATTTTCTTTCTTTTTTGGGTCACCCTGCCTCGGTGGGAGACGGCCGACTTGTTGAAAAAAAAAAAAAAAAAAAAACATACATCTTTTGGTGCATGTACAGTGATGTACAGTATATAATTTAAAAATTTTGTATGAAGTAATGTTTTATGAAAATGTAGAATGTATCTTTTTATAGTAAAATTGAATTAAGACAAAACTTTCAATATCCTTAACATCTTTGTGAAATGGCTTTTATTTGTTTTAATTTAGTTTTGTTGTTTATGTATACTGAATAACATATATTTAATAGTAGAAGATTCAACCAGCATCAGTGAGTAGAGGTAAGCTATGAAATGGTGTTCCATGTTTAAGCATGAGTGTGCTCTGGAAATGGTCAACATAGACAAAGTAAAAAGAACATAATTTAAAAGCAGCCTAATTATTATTAGTCACTGGGAAGTGCCTAACCTGTAGGGTCATATCACCTAAAGAAATGAGGCAATGAGGTTCAATCCAAGGAAAGGGGAGAACAGGTCCAATTCCTTGGATTAATAGCCCCCTCATAGGGATCAACCCCTTAAGAGAGGCTCAATGATGCTGGTGAGGGGTTCCTGATCTAAGGAATTAGACCAATAACCCAATTCCTTGAATCAAGCCTGAATGCCTTGCATTCTCCCATGAATATAATAATAATAATGATTAATACTCTCCCATGAATATAATAATAATGCTCAATGGGACTGTGGCACCTTCCTTGATGGGTAAAGCTTTCACATTATTAAATTCACAGCAAAGTTCTAAAATCACAGGAATGGGAACTAATCAAATTTAAACCAAGGAAGGGAAGGGTAACTCATTTCCCTAGATCAAGAGTCATATCATTCCACTTCCCCTCCAAGAGATGATCTTCCATAACTTGTATAATTATTACTACATTGATGAGGAAGTATTAATTAAATCTTTATGGGGTCATACAATGCCAAGGAAATGCGAGACATTTAGGACTAAAAGGACAGAGGGCTCCATCTCCTCGCATCAGTAACCCTTAACCAGCTTACTGCATTATTTTATAGAAAGTATACAAACTTTTTTATGATATAGCAACTAAGCTGGCTGTAAACAAGATCATATGCTATATTTTATTGTACTACTACAGTATTTTGTAATGCACCAGCCGTCCCCCACCAAGGTAGCATGACCCGAAAAAGGAGGAAGCATTTTCAGTCATTCATAGAACTGCTGTCATGCCAGATTTGTGTTGACATCACAATTCAGATAACCCTCACTTCTACTTTAGAGTACAAGCACTCTAAATTAATTATTAATGGTGGTTAAATAATACTTGGTCAAATGATGCCTTCAATTTCTTCATGATATCCCTTGTCATGTTAGCCATCATAAACAGTGGTAAACAAGCACAAAAGAAACCAACTTATGCATAAAAATGTTCCTAGTAATAAACAGTGTGCTTAATTTCTTTTTTTTTTTTTTTAACATGTCAGCCATTTCCCACCGAGGCAGGGTGGCCCAAAAGGAAAGAAAAAAACTTTCTTCATCATTCAACACTTTCATCATCACTCATACATAATCACTGTCTTTGCAGAAGCACTCAGACATGAGAGCTTAGAAATGATCTATTAATTTCTTTTATTTTTTTTTGTTACAAAATATTGATGTATGACAATTCTGAAGATTCAATATTCAGGTTGACCAAAGAGCAACTTTTTCTTCTTACTGGAGTGTAGCTCATTTCAAATCCCAGCCCTATAAGAGGTAAAAGTTCAACCAAGCAGGATGCAATCAGCAACAGGCAACTAAAAAATCAGATAATTACTGTTAGGCAAACAGGCAGCAAGCTTATGGAGACTTGTTTATAAGTCTTGCTATGGCCAAGATGTGACTCGCAAGTCTTGCACCCTGATGCCTATATATTGCTAGGTGAACATTTATTACCAACACAAACATTTTACTTTTCCAAGGTAACGAGAAAAATGGTTCATACACAGAATTATGGTTCGAGTGAGGCATATTCCGTACTATAACTCATTAAATGTAAACTGACCAATGACTACAACATTGCCAAACTTAACTCTCACCTGGCACATTATTCAAGAATCTACGTTACAAATAAATATACAACAAATATTCAGTATATGTACATATTTCATACCCTTGAAAAGAGTCAAAACTGGTATACAGTATAATCACTTTAAACATACACATCTAAACTCTTGATGAAAAAGTTAAAAAGAAAAAAATAACCAAAATATGCTCAAGTTATTGTGGCATTTTTGAATACTGCAATTTTCAAAATAAGTTCCTCCAAAATTAATGGGCAGCAAAATGACTGATTAAAGTTGTCGTTTTCGAGTGCGTAACTGACTCAGCAATGGAGTAATGGCAGTTGTGGCATTTAGCAGATGTGTGGCCAGTGGTAGGGACTGCATGTTGAGGCTCAAACTGTACATTTCTCGAAGTAGGCTCACATCATTTCCAAGATGACTGCTGTCAAAGGAAACAAGTAATTTTGTGTTAAATACTCTTACTCTCTTAATTTTCATGTCTTAAGTAAGAATAGGTTTGCACAATCAGAAACTCTTCAAAATATTTCAAAAAAATCACAAATATACTAAATTACATTTTTCTTACTTATAATTTCTAGTGTCATCTATCTTCATCCAATACACTGCCATTCATGATATAACGAGCATACATTAGGTGTCAAGAACCTTACATGCATGCTCAGCATAAGCAAGCCCACATGGAGAAAATGAAATGGAAGGCAAGAGGAGTATTACACCAGTACTGCATATTTCACCTTACAACTAAAGCCTCTTTCATTTTTCTATAGTAATACCAATCTGACATACATGCAGTACTGCTACTTTTCATTTTGCATGTAGTCTTTTTTTAAGTTTCATCATGTATACATTAACAAAGTAGAAAATTGAAGCCAAAGAACACTTTTCATTAATGCTTATGTAAATCCATTAGGGTACTATAATCTTAATATGTCCAGATCATCAAAGTACAGTGGACCCCCGCATACCGTTGGCCTTACATAACGTTAAATCCGTATACCGATACATTTTATTGCTAAGATTTTTCCTCGCATACCGCTAAAAAACCCGCTCAACACTGTTCGTCCGAGACGCGTCTAATGTGCGGCCTTAGCCAGCCTCACATGTTCCGCCAGTGGCATTGTTTACCAGCCAGCCTCCACGGTAACATCCAAGCATACAATCGGAACATTTCGTATTATTACAGTGTTTTTGGTGATTTTATCTGCAAAATAAGTGACCATGGGCCCCAAGAAAGCTTCTAGTGCCAACCCTACAGGAATAAGGGTGAGAATTACTACAGAGATGAAGAAAGAGATCACTGATAAGTATGAAAGTGGAGTGCGTGTCTCCGAGCTGGCCAGGTTGTATAATAAACCCCAATCAACCATTGCTACTATTGTGGGCAACAAAAAGGCAATCAAGGAAGCTGTTCTTGCCAAAGGTTCAACTGTGTTTTCGAAACAGAGATCGCAAGTGATGGAAGATGTTGAGAGACTCTTATTGGTGTGGATAAATGAAAAACAGATAGCAGGAGATAGCATCTCTCAAGTGATCATAAGTGAAAAGGCTAGGAAGTTGCATCAGGATTTAATAAAAAAAATGCCTGCAACTAGTGATGATGTGAGTGAATTTAAGGCCAGCAAAGGTTGGTTTGAGAGATTTAAAAAGCGTAGTGGCATACATAGTGTGATAAGGCATGGTGAGGCTGCCAGTTCGGACCACAAAGCAGCTGAAAAATTTGTGCAGGAATTCAAGGAGTACATAGACAGTGAAGGACTGAAACCTGAACAAGTGTTTAATTGTGATGAAACAGGCCTGTTTTGGAAGAAAATGCCAAGCAGGACCTACATTACTCAGGAGGAAAAGGCACTCCAGGACATAAGCCTATGAAAGACAGGCTTACTCTGTTGATGTGTTCCAATGCTAGTGGTGATTGCAAAGTGAAGCCTTTATTAGTGTATCACTCAGAAACTCCCAGAGCGTTCAGGCAAAAGAATATCCTCAAGGCTAATTTGTGTGTGCTGTGGAGGGCAAACAGTAAGGCATGGGTCCTAGGGACTTTTTCTATGACGGGTTTACCCCATGCATTTGCCCCCAAATTAAAAATTTACCAACTGAAAAAAAATTTGACCTTAAGTGCCTCCTGGGTTGACAATCCCCCTGGCACCTACAGACGTGGCAGACCCGACTTTAGGGGGACTGAGCTTCATTAAGGTGAAGTTTTTCCCTCCAAACCACTCCTCTCCTGCACCCCTTTGGACCACAGGTTTTGAAACTTCAAAAAACTGTACACAAAAGCTCTGTTTAAAAGGGCTTTGTAGTGAACTCAGAAACTCAACTACTCTAAGAGATTTTTGGGAGAGAGCCTTTAATATCCTAAATTGTGTAAACCTATAGGTAAGGTTTGGGAGGGAGTGATAAGAGGACCTTAAACCTGCTTGGAAAAACTGTGGCCAGAATGTGAACCAAAGGGATTTTGAAGGGTTTGGGGCAACCCCTGGGAATCCTATGCCATTTAAATCAATTGTGGATTGGGAAGTCCTTGGGTTGGGGGTTTAGTGGGATGAGTGGAAATTTGGTGGAGGAGGACAATGAAAACTAAACTGATGAGCTGATAGATAAATTTCAACAGCAAGAGGCCAGCCCTGAGAAAGGGTTCGGAGGGGGGGAGAGAAAATTGAAGAAGTTGCCCATCAAAGATTTAAGGAAAACTGTGCAATGTGGCTGAAAAGTGCCCTTTATGGATGAAAAATCACCCTCACACAGCTATTGCAAGCCGTGTGGGGACTATTACACTGACAATGGGGGAAACACTTTAGGGAATAAAAAGGAAGGGGGGGACAGGCCAATACAAATTTTTGGGACAGAACCAGTGACTCGAAGCTGGTCCCGTGCATTTAAAAAAAGAAGGGGAAATAACCCCCCAAAAAAACTTGACAAAAAGTCTTTAAAGGAAGGGGGAAAAAATAACCCGCACATAAAAAGAGAAACTTACGACGTCGTCGTTTAAACTTTCTCTTTTTATGTGCGGGTTATTTGTGTATGTTCCAGTCACGGTATTTTTCCTTTTTTTATTTACTTAAAGGAGGGATTCCCCCTTTTAAAACTAAGACTCTCTCCTCCTCCCATCCCATCAAACTCACCAATCTTCAATAAAGGGAAGTGTCATGTAATTGTCATGCCTTTTTCAGTTTGTGTGTATTTTAAAAAATTTAAAATTTTTTATGGGTAAAAATATTTTTTTTTCAAACTTTGGAGGTCTTTCACGGGTTAATTTGATTTCCATTATTTTTATGGGGAAAATTATTCGCATAACGTAATTTGCATAACAATGAGCTTATGAACGGATTAAATCGTTAGCGGGGGTCCACTGTTTACAATTACAGTAACCTCGGGGGTACAACTTTTTTTGTTCCCGATAGCTGTTCGAGTGCGAACGAACAAAATTTTTTTTTTATAAGGAATAATGTAAATTAGATTAATCTGTTTCAAACCCCCAAAAATACTTTACAAAGCACTTTCAAAATACACCTACATAAAATTTCACGTTTTGAGCTGTTCTATCCTAGGTACCAATGCTTATATCTGTCGGATATAAAACCTTTCACAACATCTCCTACTGCCAAAAATTTTCCCCCCCCAATGAACTTACTTTGACTAACGTTTTCCCCATCCAAAAGGCATCAAAATAATCCTAACAATGTAATTATCAGTTTTTAGAGTATTTCTCCAAACTTCACTAACACAGCTTTCCAGGCAAACAGTAGTTCATATCCTTTTCAATCTTCTCTAACAACTCCTAATTATTATTATATAGCAATTTTTCTCCTGTCATACCCCCCTGGATATTTTAAATGACTTTTTTTGTAGCTGATTTAAAGCAAAAAAAGTTTGATGTGATGCCCGAAACCCCCAGTAATCCCAAGACCTGTATATTTGCTTTCCAAACAATTTGATGTGATGCAGGCTACCCCATCTAATCCAAGACCTGTAATTGCTTTCTCAAAAAATTTTTATGTGATGCCAAACTACCACATCAGTAAGTCCAATGACCTGTATATTAGCTTTCTCAAACAAGTTTGATGTGATGCCAGGCTACCACATCAGTAAGTCCAATGACCTGTATATTAGCTTTCTCAAACAAGTTTGATGTGATGCCAGGCTACCACATCAGTAAGTCCAATGACCTGTATATTAGCTTTCTCAAACAAGTTTGATGTGATGCCAGGCTACCACATCAGTAAGCCCAATGACCTGTATATTAACTTCCTCAAACAAGTTTGATGTGATGCCAGGCTACCACATCAGTAAGCCCAATGACCTGTATATTAACTTTCTCTATTAAGAGAGCAAGTTTTCTATGTGTATATATTATGTTTAGGCTTACACATGGAAATGCAGTTATCTGTATCAGACAGGAGGCTACAGGCAAAGGAAAAATAATAAAACAGCAGGAATGACTAGATTATAAGGAAGGTATAATGACCTATGGCAGTATTTTAGAGAAACATTTAGACTTACCTCTTTTTGGATTTCGAAGAATATATCTTTATAAGGGCCATAAGGGAATTTTGAATTTTTTTCTCAAACACAACTAACAAGGCCCTTATTTTTTCCTGACTTTCCTCATCCTCATATGTTAGATATTCATTCTGACAGCTAATTTCTTCACTACATGCATTATTATTCTCTCTATATTTGCTCCTGTCATCCATGTTCGCACCCACTTGTTTATTCTGATTGTGGCTGCATGAGCTAATTTTCGGCATATTATCAGTGCTGGTTTGGTTGACTTTGGCTACAGCAGAAGCCTCACTGCTCTTGAGAGCTGGAACACAGTCTACCAGCAGTTGAAGAATGGACAGATGAAGTTTAATAAGGATTTGCTGATTTGATATTCCTGAAGAAGAAAAAAAAAAAACAGTGAAATCATACAATATAATGCAGGGAGCAAGGGGCTAGTAATCCCTTCTGTATAAATTACTAAATGTATAAAGAAAAACTTTTTTTCTTCTTTTTTGCATCACCCTGCCTTGGTGGGAGACAGCCGGTTTTAATTTTTTTTTTCAACGCGTTGGCCATCTCCCACTGAGGCAGGGTAACCCAAAAAAGAAATACGTACTACTTTCACCATCATTCACACCTAATCACTGTCTTTGCAGAGGTGCTCAGATACAACAGTTTAGATGTCACTCCAAATATCAGGGTGACTCAAAAAGAAAAACAAAAGTTTCTCTTTTAAACTTTAGTAATGTATACAGGAGAAGTGGTTACTAGCTCCTTGATCCCAGCATGGCTTATGGAGGAAGAATTCTGTTCCACTTTCCCATGGAGACAAGGGGAAATAAACAAGAACAAGAACCAGTAAGAAAATATAGTAGAAGAAAACCCAGAAGGATATGTATATATTTTTTTTTTCAACAAACCGGCCGTATCCCACCGAGGCAGGGTGGCCCAAAAGAAAAAACGAAAGTTTCTCCTTTTACATTTAGTAATATATACAGGAGAAGGGGTTACTAGCCGCTTGCTCCCGGCATTTTAGTCACCTCTTACAACACGCATGGCTTACGGAGGAAGAATTCTGTTCCACTTTCCCATGGAGGTAAGAGGAAATAAACAAGAACAAGAACTAGAAAGAAAATAGAAGAAAACCCAGAGGGGTGTGTGTATATATATATGCTTGTACATGTATGCGAAGAAGCTGGATGTCCTGGCTTTAAGTGAAACAAAGCTGAAGGGGGTGGGAGAGTTTCAATGGAGAGGAATAAATGGGATTAGGTCAGGGGTTTCAAAAAGAGTTAGAGCTAAAGAAGGAGTAGCAATAATGTTGAAGGATAAGCTATGGCAGGAAAAGAGGGACTATAAGTGTATTAATTCAAGGATTATGTGGAGTAAAATAAAGATTGGATGTGAAAAGTGGGTTATAATAAGCATGTATGCACCTGGAGAAGAGAGAAGTGTAAAGGAGAGAGAGAGAGATTTTGGGAAATGTTGAGTGAATGCGTGGGGAGTTTTGAATCAAGTGTGAGAGTAATGGTGGTTGGGGATTTCAATGCTAAAGTGGGTAAAAATGTTATGGAGGGAGTAGTAGGTAAATTTGGGGTGCCAGGGGTAAATGTAAATGGGGAGCCTTTAATTGAGCTATGTGTAGAAAGAGATTTGGTAATAAGTAATACATATTTTATGAAAAAGAGGATAAATAAATATACAAGGTATGATGTAGCACGTAATGAAAGTAGTTTATTAGATTATGTATTGGTGGATAAAAGGTTGATGGGTAGGCTCCAGGATGTACATGTTTATAGAGGGGCAACTGATATATCGGATCATTATTTAGTTGTAGCTACAGTTAGAGTAAGAGGTAGATGGGAAAAGAGGAAGGTGGAAACAACAAGTAAGAGGGAGGTGAAAGTGTATAAACTAAGGGAGGAGGAAGTTCGGGTGAGATATAAGCGACTATTGGCAGAAAGGTGGGCTAGTGCAAAGATGAGTAGTGGGGGGTTTTGAAGAGGGTTGGAATAGTTTAAAAAATGCAGTATTAGAATGTGGGGCAGAAGTTTGTGGTTATAGGAGGGTGTGGGCAGGTGGAAAGAGGAGTGATTGGTGGAATGATGAAGTAAAGGGTGTGATAAAAGAGAAAAAGGTAGCTTATGAGAGGTTTTTACAAAGCAGAAGTGTTATAAGAAGAGCAGAGTATATGGAGAGTAAAAGAAAGGTAAAGAGAGTGGTGAGAGAATGCAAAAGGAGAGCAGATGATAGAGTGGGAGAGGCACTGTCAAGAAATTTTAATGAAAATAAGAAAAAATTTTGGAGTTAAACAAGTTAAGAAAGCCTAGGGAAAGTATGGATTTGGCAGTTAAAAACAGAGTAGGGGAGTTAGTAGATGGGGAGATGGAGGTATTAGGTAGATGGCAAGAATATTTTGAGGAACTTTTAAATGTTAAGGAAGAAAGAGAGGCAGTAATTTCATGCACTGGTCAGGGAGGTATACCATCTTTTAGGAGTGAAGAAGAGCAGAATTTAAGTGTGGGGGAGGTACATGAGGCATTACGTAGAATGAAAGGGGGTAAAGCAGCTGGAACTGATGGGATCATGACAGAAATGTTAAAAGCAGGGGGGGGGGATATAGTGTTGGAGTGGTTGGTACTTTTGTTTAATAAATGTATGAAAGAGGGGAAGGTACCTAGGGATTGGCGGAGAGCATGTGTAGTCCCTTTATATAAAGGGAAAGGGGACAAAAGAGACTGTAAAAATTATAGAGGAATAAGTTTACTGAGTATACCAGGAAAAGTGTACGGTAGGGTTATAATTGAAAGAATTAGAGGTAAGACAGAATGTAGGATTGCGGATGAGCAAGGAGGTTTCAGAGGGGGTAGGGGATGTGTAGATCAAGTGTTTACATTGAAGCATATATGTGAACAGTATTTAGATAAAGGTAGGGAAGTTTTTATTGCATTTATGGATTTAGATTTAGATTAAGATTTATTTTCATATAGTCGGACTTGAGTCCTGGAAATGGGAAGTACAATGCCTGCACTTTAAAGGAGTGGTTTGGGATATTGGCAGTTTGGAGGGATATGTTGTGTATCTCTATACGTATATGCTTCTAAACTGTTGTATTCTGGGCACCTCTGCAAAAGCAGTGATAATGTGTGTGGTGAAAGTGTTGAATGATGATGAAAGTATTTTCTTTTTGGGGATTTTCTTTCTTTTTTTGGGTCACCCTGCCTCGGTGGGAGACGACCAACTTGTTGGAAAAAAAAAAAAAAAAATATGATAGAGTGGATAGAGGAGCAATGTGGCAGATGTTGCAAGTATATGGAATAGGTGGTAAGTTATTAAATGCTGTAAAGAGTTTTTATGAGGATAGTGAGACTCAGGTTAGGGTGCGTAGAAGAGAGGGAGATTACTTCCCGTTAAAAGTAGGTCTTAGACAGGGATGTGTAATGTCACCATGGTTGTTTAATATATTTATAGATGGGGTTGTAAAGGAAGTAAATGCTAGGGTGTTTGGGAGAGAGGTGGGATTAAATTTTGGGGAATCAAATTCAAAATGGGAATTGACACAGTTACTTTTTGCTGATGATACTGTGCTTATGGGAGATTCTAAAGAAAAACTGCAAAGGTTAGTGGATGAGTTTGGGAATGTGTGTAAAGGTAGAAAGTTGAAAGTGAACATAGAAAAGAGTAAGGTGATGAGGGTATCAAATGATTTAAATAAAGAAAAATTGGATATCAAATTGGGGAGGAGGAGTATGGAAGAAGTGAATGTTTTCAGATACAGTGGACCCCCGCATAACGATGGCATCACATAGCGATTTTTCCGCATACCGATTACTTTTATCGCAAAATTTTTGCCGCGCATACCGATTAAAAACCCGCTTACCGATTTTCGTCCGAGACGCGTCCAATGTGCCCTCAGCCAGCCTCACATGTGCCGGCCGTCCCATTGTTTACCAGCCAGCCTCCGCGGTAACATCCAAGCATACACTCGGAATATTTCGTATTATTACAGTGTTTTCGGTGCTGTTTCTGGAAAATAAGTGACCATGGGCCCCAAGAAAGCTTCTAGTGCCAACCCTGTGGTAAAAAGGGTGAGAATTAGTATGGAAATTAAGAAAGATTTTGAAGGGTTTGGGGCTAACCCTGAGAAGCCTATGCCAGTTGTGGAATCCATTGTGCCTACTTCAAAGATTAAGGAAATGTGTGCACAGTGGGTTGAACTGCAAACCTTTATAGATGAAAATCACCCTGACACAGCTGTTGCAAGCCGTGCTGGTGACTATTTCAATGACAATGTTGTGGCCCATTTTAGACAAATCGTAAAGGAACGGGAGGTACAGAGCTCTATGGACAGATTTGTTGTGTGACAGAGGTCCAGTGACTCTCAAGCTGGTCCTAGTGGCATTAAAAGAAGAAGGGAAGTAACCCCGGAAAAGGACTTGCTACCTCAAGTCATAATGGAAGGGGATTCCCCTTCTAAACAGTAAGAAGATAATGCTCTCCCCTCCTCCCATCCCATCAATCATCACCAGATCTTCAATAAAAGTAAGTGTCATGTAATTGTGCATGCCTTTTTCAGTTTGTGTGTATTAAAATTAACATTTCATGTGGTAAAAAAAAATTTTTTTCATACTTTTGGGCGTCTTGCACGGATTAATTTTATTTCCATTATTTCTTATGGGGAAAATTCATTCGCATAACGATTATTTCGCATAACGATGAGCCCTCTTGCACGGATTAAAATCGTTAACCGGGGGTCCACTGTACTTGGGAGTTGACGTGTCGACGGATGGATTTATGAAGGATGAGGTTAATCATAGAATTGATGAGGGAAAAAAGGTGAGTGGTGCGTTGAGGTATATGTGGAGTCAAAAAACGTTATCTATGGAGGCAAAGAAGGGAATGTATGAAAGTATAGTAGTACCAACACTCTTACATGGGTGTGAAGCTTGGGTGGTAAATGCAGCAGCGAGGAGACGGGTTGGAGGCAGTGGAGATGTCCTGTTTAAGGGCAATGTGTGGTGTAAATATTATGCAGAAAATTCGGAGTGTGGAAATTAGGAAAAGGTGTGGAGTTAATAAAAGTATTAGTCAGAGGGCAGAAGAGGGGTTGTTGAGGTGGTTTGGTCATTTAGAGAGAATGGATCAAAGTAGAATGACATGGAAAGCATATAAATCTATAGGGGAAGGAAGGCGGGGTAGGGGTCGTCCTCGAAAGGGGTGGAGAGAGGGGTAAAGGGGTTTTGTGGGCAAGGGGCTTGGACTTCCAGCAAGCGGCTGAGCGTGTTAGATAGGAGTGAATGGAAAACGAATGGTACTTGGGAACTGACGATCCGTTGGAGTGTGAGCAGGGTAATTTTTTAGTGAAGGGATTCAGGGAAACCGGTTATTTTCATATAGTCGGACTTGATCCTGGAAATGGGAAGTACAATGCCTGCACTTTAAAGGGGGGGTTTTTGGGGATATTTCGGCAGTTTGGAGGGATATGTTGTGTATCTTATATGTATATGCTTCTAAACTGTGTATTCTGAGCACCTCTGCAAAAACAGTGATAATGTGTGAGTGTGGTGAAAGTGTTGAATGATGATGAAAGTATTTTCTTTTTGGGGATTTTCTTTCTTTTTTGGGTCACCCTGCCTCAGTGGGAGATGGCCGACTTGTTGAAAAAAAAAAAAAAAAAAAAAAATGTATGTGTAGTGTGACCTAAGCGTAAGTAGAAGTAGCAAGACGTACCTGAAATCCTGTATGTTTATGAGACAGAAAAGAGACACCAGCAATCCTACCATCATGTAAAACAATTACAGGTTTCCATTTTACATTCACATGGCAGGACAGTAGTACCTCCCTGGGTGGTTGCTGTCTACCAACCTACTACCTAGACATTATAGATACCAGGTAATAATGGTTAAATCATACTGAAACCATCAATTAACACAGGTACACTGTTATAAGATCATTCTATCCCTGTTGACAAAGCAGTACAATCAATGCTCTAAACCTGGAGACATTACATTTCTTAAAGTCCACATAAATTCAGAAACTGCTAATACAATATTACTAAGTCTTGTCTGTAAAACAGATACAGTATTGCTTTGTGCTTCAGAGGCCAAATCTCTTTTTATACTGCTCTAACTTCATAAACACTGACATTCAAGAGAAAAAGCATTTAGCATGATTAGATATTTGGATACAAGAAAACCACTGAGCACATCTTCAAAAAGAATACAATGGTTGGTTTTTAGTTTAGAGATTGTACGAAGCCAAAATAAAATGGGAACCACTAAAAAATGCAAATACATACTCCAAATAATTCATAAGAGACCATTCAGTAAAAATGCTGAATAATAAGAATTAGTGAATTTTGATAAAAGTACTGTGACTCTGGACAGCTGCTTGGAGATGGCCATTTTTTTTTCTTTGCACATGATCCTTAAATTGAAAACTAATTATAGGATTTTGTTCAAAATGTGCCTAGAATATCTTTTCTTTATGGTCATATTTATGAATGTAAATATTTCCCATATTTGAGTGATATTTTTATTGCAATGTATGGACATAATTTTGATGAATTTGCAAATTCAATTATTGTGAGGCCTCTACGTGCATAACCCCTCCATTTTTATCTGAGTGAATAAATACCTTGTAACTGATCTTCTATCAGGACCGCTTGATCCAGTTGCACTTTTAATATATCAGTGGGATTCTCCAGCTGCATGAACAAGGTAGCTGCTTTACTGTAATTCAGCTGTGCCAAGTGCTTTGTATTTTTCATCTCACCTTCCCCTTGTCTGAGGAAAAAAAGTTATATATAATTCTACAGAGGTACCATGACAAAATTCATAACACAATGAACTTTGGAAAAAACTCGGGGACAACTCATGAACTAAATTTTTAGTCAATCTCCTTCAATTTTTCTGGATTATGACAGATGGATTAACTGAACTGCTAGTTAAATAATTTATTATATTGTGTATACTCTTCAGTTATTCTTGATCAATTTACTGAGCAGGGAAACTGAAAATATACTTGATATATTGTATGCTATTTTTCTAAATTCATTTAGAGAAAGTTACAAAGAATAAAAACTTTTCCTTACCTAACAGCATTGTGATATATGCCTGCTATTCGCATATATATAACAGCAGCTCTGTACTGATAAAGTGGCTGCCGAACTCCTGGAATTTTCACATCGCAGTACTTAAGAGCCTTTGTGAGAAGATCCAAAACTTCCCGAGCAACATCTTCTCCAGCCTACAGAATAATGCCTCATTAAACACCCCTTTAACTACATGTTACAAATTTGCAGTACATGGTGCAATGTCTACACTGTACAGTACTGAATAAGTTGCATTTTCACTCTAGCCACCAAAATTTTTTGAATACCTCACATTGCCTGCTAAGATCTAACAGGAGCAGATGTGCTGCCACCTGCTTCCCAGAGTGAAGACTATCCCAACTCTAGAACAATACATTTTTTTTAGCATAATTTCTTAATTTTACTATAAATAAATAAGATATGAATACATACTGCAACATATAGATGTGATATAATGTCTTGCACATAAAATATACACAGAATACTAAATAAACTACTAATTATACACCTTAGAGTGAAAAATAATGATATTATTGAACAAGCTGTTTTTTTTGGTGTGTACTTTTTGTAATAATACAGATAAAGATAAGCCTGATGCTTTATAAAGACTATATGCATAAGTTTCATGGTTTCATTTTTTTTTTTCAACAAGTCGGTTGTCTCCCACCGAGGCAGGGTGACCCAAAAAAGAAAGAAAATCCCCAAAAAGAAAATACTTTCATCATTCAACACTTTCACCACACTCGCACATTATCACTGTTTTTGCAGAGGTGCTCAGAATACACAGTTTAGAAGCATATACATATAAAGATCCACAACATATCCCTCCAAACTGCCAATATCCCAAACCCCTCCTTTAAAGTGCAGGCATTGTACTTCCCATTTCCAGGACTCAAGTCCGACTATATGAAAATAACCGGTTTCCCTGAATCCCTTCACTAAATATTACCCTGCTCACACTCCAACAGATCGTCAGGTCCCAAGTGCCATTCGTCTCCATTCACTCCTATCTAACACGCTCACGCATGCTTGCTGGAAGTCCAAGCCCCTTGCCCACAAAACCTCCTTTACCCCCTCTCTCCAACCCTTTCGAGGACGACCCCTGTCCCGCCTTCCTTCCCCTATAGATTTATATGCTTTCCATGTCATTCTACTTTGATCCATTCTCTCTAAATGACCAAACCACCTCAACAACCCCTCTTCTGCCCTCTGACTAATACTTTTATTAACGCCACACCTTTTCCTAATTTCCATACTCCGAATTTTCTGCATAATATTTACACCACACATTGCCCTTAAACAGGACATCTCCACTGCCTCCAACCGTCTCCTCGCTGCTGCATTTACCACCCAAGCTTCACACCCATATAAGAGTGTTGGTACTACTATACTTTCATACATTCCTTTCTTTGCCTCCATAGATAACGTTTTTTGACTCCACATATACCTCAACACACCACTCACCTTTTTTTCCTCATCAATTCTATGATTAACCTCAGCCTTCATAAATCCATCCGCCGACACGTCAACTCCCAAGTATCTGAAAACATTCACTTCTACCATACTCCTCCTCCCTAATTTGATATCCAATTTTTCTTTATCTAAATCATTTGATACCCTCATCACCTTACTCTTTTCTATGTTCACTTTCATCTTTCTACCTTCACACACATTCCCAAACTCATCCACTAACCTTTGCAATTTTTCTTTAGAATCTCCCATAAGCACAGTATCATCAGCAAAAAGTAACTGTGTCAATTCCCATTTTGAATTTGATTCCCCAAAATTTAATCCCACCCCTCTCCCGAACACCCTAGCATTTACTTCCTTTACAACCCCATCTATAAATATATTAAACAACCATGGTGACATTACACATCCCTGTCTAAGACCTACTTTTACCGGGAAGAAGTCTCCCTCTCTTCTACACACCCTAACCTGAGCCTCACTATCCTCATAAAAACTCTTTACAGCATTTAATAACTTACCACCTATTCCATATACTTGCAACATCTGCCACATTGCTCCTCTATCCACTCTATCATATGCCTTTTCTAAATCCATAAATGCAATAAAAACTTCCCTACCTTTATCTAAATACTGTTCACATATATGCTTCAATGTAAACACTTGATCTACACATCCCCTACCCACTCTGAAACCTCCTTGCTCATCCGCAATCCTACATTCTGTCTTACCTCTAATTCTTTCAATTATAACCCTACCATACACTTTTCCTGGTATACTCAGTAAACTTATTCCTCTATAATTTTTACAGTCTCTTTTGTCCCCTTTCCCTTTATATAAAGGGACTATACATGCTCTCCGCCAATCCCTAGGTACCTTCCCCTCTTTCATACATTTATTAAACAAAAGTACCAACCACTCCAACACTATATCATCCCCTGCTTTTAACATTTCTGTCATGATCCCATCAGTTCCAGCTGCTTTACCCCCTTTCATTCTACGTAATGCCTCACGTACCTCCCCCACACTTATATATACAATACATATACAATATATCTTTAGGAAAAAGTAACTGAAGCTTGGTTTGCAAGTGCTTTTGAATTTATTGAAAGAACACATGCTCAAGAATGACAACATCCCAAATTATTATTACTATTGTTAACATTATTACGTTAAACTAACCGCTGTTACTAGTGGAGGATGATCCTGTAGTAATGAAGCCATAGTGTACAGGGTTGTACCATACTCCCAAACAACTAAATCCCATATCTCCATGCTTCTTTTCCTGGATTTCAAAATCTCCAATGCTTTCTGGTATTCTTTTATTGCCTGTAGTCGAGATAAAAAAAATTAATATCTACTCTACTGGGAAATTATATTTTGTGGTAGTTATACTGTATTTTTTTTTTTCAACAAACCAGCTGTATCCCACCGAGGCAGGGTGGCCCAAAAAGAAAAATGAAAGTTTCTCTTTTTAAATTTAGTAATTTATATAGGAGAAGGGGTTACTAGCCCCTTGCTTCCGGCATTTTAGTCGCCCCTTACAACACGTGCAGGCACTGTACATCAGAAATATTACAGTGCATTAAATAACTATGGCAAAAATAGATTAAAACAGAAATTCTAAAACTGTTAAAATGTTTCACCTTTAAATGTATTATCTAAACTCTTACCTGGTCATAATAATACCTCTCTGGATTTACGAACTCCCTTGGACCAGCTTTGGGCACACAGTAGAAGGCACAAAGTCTCAGCAGACGACCCGTGTTAGAATGCAACAGAGCTATATTTGCCACATCACTGACACGGGAAAAATACTCAATGCCCCGGTTCAAAATTTCTGCACTTCTTTGCCAGAGTTCTTCTGTATCTTGAAAGCCAATATTTTTTTCCTCACACATTTCTAACAGAGAGAGAGAGAGAGAGAGAGAGAGAGAGAGAGAGAGTATTATTAACTCAGGCTTTAACCCAACATCTTCAGGTTATGCACAAAAAATCACTTCTCTTTGGGGTTTAAAAAAAAAAAAGTCACCAATCTAGTAATAGACAGAGGAAGGATTAAAATGGTAATGAAAGCAAAAGGTTAAATGACCAGATACTGATGTTAAGTATTTTCCAAGTTCACTAATAAAGCTTATTAAACTGTCTGTTTTATTCATCCTTCTCCAAACACTTTTGTGACAAACATTTTTTTTTGCGGAGACTGTATTATATTTATTATATTTAAGAGGGGAGCACTAAACCCATAAGGGAATAAGAAGCATTCAGGTTTGATCCAAGTCAATGGAGAGCATGTCCAGTTCCTTGCATCAAGAGCCCCTTACCTGGAGAGTTTACCTGGAGAGAGTTCCGGGGGTCAACGCCCCCGCGGCCCGGTCTGTGACCAGGCCTCCTGGTGGATCAGAGCCTGATCAACCAGGCTGTTGCTGCTGGCTGCACGCAAACCAACGTACGAGCCACAGCCCGGCTGATCAGGAACTGACTTCAAGGAACTTCTCATGAGGGGGGGCACAAAGAATAACACCTCTGGTTGTCTCTGCCATTAGCGATTTTATATTCTTCTTTCAACACACCGGCTGTATCCCACCGAGGCGGGGTGGTCCAAAAGGAAAAACGAAAGTTTCTCCATTTACTTTTTTTTTTTTCAACAAACCGGCCGTATCCCACCGAGGCAGGGAGGCCCAAAAAGAAAAACAAAAGTTTCTCTTTTTTAAATTTAGTAATTTATACAGGAGAAGGGGTTACTAACCCCTTGCTCCCGGCATTTTAGTCGCCTCTTACAACACGCATGGCTTACGGAGGAAGTATTCTGTTCCACTTCCCCATGGAGATAAAAGGAAATAAACAAGAACAAGAACTAGAAAGAAAATAGCAGAAAACCCAGAGGGGTGTGTATATATATATGCTTGTACATGTATGTGTAGTGTGACCTAAGTGTAAGTAGAAGTAGCAAGACGTACCTGAAATCTTGCATGTTCATGAGACAGAAAAAAAAACACCAGCAATCCTACCATCATGTAAAACAATTACAGGCTTTCGTTTTACACTCACTTAGCAGGACGGTAGTACCTCCCTGGGCGGTTGGTGTCTACCCACCTACTACCTAAACCGATTTTATATATCATTGATATTTTGCTTCCCCTAAGACTTTCTACTTCCCTTCAGAAGTAATGTAAAATCTAGATACCATATCTTATGTGGAAGGTATTTCAAGGGCAGTAACTGAATGACTCCACAGGCACAAGTCAGGCACGTTACCTCATGTATGTGATGTCTCACCTGCTCTAGGCCCATACAATTCCTCCCTCCTCATATTGTTACAATGATGATATGAATAGAATGAATGGATAAATCTAAAATTTAGGTTACTGAAGTTAAGTATTTAGATAATGCAATGGATATTAGTATATGGGAAGGAATGATATGCAGGATTGTACATATATGGTGACAAAGGGCAAAGACAAGAGGTGTAGGATAGAATGAGTAGATAGGAAGTTTCTACAATGATTTGGGCCAAAAGAGAAGATGACAAAGACAGAGTTGCTGATCACATTGGTGATCAGTAAGCAACCATCATGGAAAATGAAAGTGCAGTAGAATACACAAAGCTAAGTCATATGAGAACATCAGGAAAATATAATAGGCTGGAAGAGTATGTTTAGTAAGAGCTACCTAGATGTTTTTCTGTCCAACAGTCCACTAAAAGGGATGTTAATGAGGGAATGAAGCATGAAGTATACAGAGAAAAAACATGTTCATTTAGGCCTATGTGTTCATGAGGTACAAATCGCTGAATCAGAAATGTGCAAGGAAAATCCTACTATTTCAATGATTTTCAGATAACCGACTACTCTTTGTATCTATCTAAAGAAACAAACCATACTTACTAGCTGCTTGGTTCATGTACATTACACCTAATTCGTTACAGACATTACCCAGCCTGCGTGAGAGAACCATTGCTGCTTGAGGGTCTGCAGCAGAGAGTGCTTTTTCAAAACTCAAACAGCTTAATGCCAAAGCTTCTTCTGTATCACATGGCAATTTGATAGTCCAGCTACATTCTGTTGATAATTAGGGATTTTCATTAGCTTATAATTATATGTACCTGTGACAGCTAATCAACAATAATAAGTGAGGGGACTCCTCATGGAATGTTACATCAAAGGCTTAAGGACCAGATGGATATCAGCACAAATATTAAGAGCTGAAATGCTGTGCAAGCTATTTGTACAGATCTTTAACTAATCATTAATGACGGGCAAAGTGTTAGATTATTGAACAATATCAAATGTGGTTGCTATATTTAAGAAAGGTTACAGTACAGAAGCTCCTAACTATATACCAGTGACCTTAGTAAGTCTATCTAGCAAACTGCGAACTATCAAATGGCTTTCAAATATGTGGATGGAGAAAAGCTGAAAAAGACATGAACAAGGTATGTTACACAAAACTGGAATATGCAGTGGCTCTGATGATGCCCACACAGTTTGAGTGATACACTGAAAAAAAAACAACTTTCCCTTCCATCCATCAGAGCACAGGCACTCTACTTCACACCTCCAGAGTTCAATGTATACAAGAGCAACTGTTGTGTTTGTGTGAAGGCCAAAAGAACAGATGTCAATATAATATTTTATGGTATTCTGAAGGTTTAAAGAGTTTTTTAAGTGTTGAAATATATGAAACATGAGCTACCCACTCCTTTACAAGTCATGTTTACTTATTTATCACTGACCTTGAGCTGGTAAAATACTTTCAAGAAGTGTAAGCATATCCTGATTAGTTGCAGTGATGCTGTTATAGTCATCTATGTGACTGGCAACTTCTTCCCACACTTTCAATATCATGTAAAATATGTCACCAGCCAGAGTTAGTGCTTGACAAGGAATAGGTACATCACTCTCCTCAAGGCCAAGTCGACAAGCCATGCCATGCCATGCATGGAGGGAGAATCTTATGTAGCGTAGAGCCAGTCCATACCTAAAAAATGTACAGTATTATAAGTGCAAAAGTAAAACAGAGTAAAACAGTCACTACCACCAAGATAAGGTGATCCGAAAAAGAAGAAACACTTTCACTCATTTTTATCATGCTCTTGCTAGAGGGATGATAACATTACAGGTCAGATGTCCCTCCAAACTGTAACATCCCCACTCTTCCTTCAAGGTGGAGGCACTGCCCTTCCAACCTCCAGGACTCTAGTCCAGTTAACAAGTATCCGTTCATAAATGTTACCTTACACATACTCCAATAGCATGACAAATCATAAAAACCACTTGTCTCCAACTCACTCTTCTTTAACACAATCACATGTATGTTGGATGTAATGGGAGTTATACATGCTTGCATACATACTGTGTTAGTTTTTTTATGAAAATATACAAGACTGTTTTGAATAATGACAGAAACTTACCTGCATCAAAGATCATGGGGGCCCCAGCTGGAATTACATTATGCCTTTTCCTACTTAACACCTATTTTTCTTATCCACCAGCATTGTCTTATTGTTCACTTGTGCCCAAAACAGCCACAAAAAAAAATAATTTAGAAAAAAGATCACTGGAGAGGGGGCAAGGTCCTTGCAGGAAAAAGCCTAACAATTAAGAGCCTTTTGTATCATCTGCCTGATTTAACACCAGAGGTACAGTAAAAAGTTGGTAGACTGCAGCCATTCAAAAGGTACTACTGTACTGCCATATGTCTCAAATGAAAGCCTGTTAAACATTTTTTCATTAAAAATTTTTACTTACATTCAGACTACACTTATCTTTGGTCTTGAAATGGGTAGTAGGGGCAATGATCTTTGGAAAAATTAACAGATCTCAGTGGGAATAAACTTTGGCATATTTTTATATTTCTATCTCCAAAGCCTTCTCTAAATGGAATGTTAATTTTCACAGACAAAATAACTAATATGTAATGACAAAATCCAAATGAATATATCAGCAGAACCTGATACTACACACACATACCAGACATATATGTATGTGCACACACATACACAAACACAGATATACCAGGTATATATGCATGTCTATGCAAACACACACAAACACATGCACACACACTCACATGCACACAAAGACACACACACAAAAAAAAGTTCTATACCCACCTCTACATATGCTAGCAGCAACTGTAGTGGGCTTCACTCACCTCTTCATACTAAAATTTGTTCTGGCCATAACCAGATAAACTAAAGAAGCTTTTCTGAGCAACAAGATGTTAAGTTTGTCCAACCAGCTGGCAACAGAGTACTGCTGACAAAGCACAGAAACTGTTAAGTGGTCATCAGCAGATCGTTCTTTTGCTACAACTAAGGCCTTCTTTCCATTATCCGGACTACCATTCAGAGGTGAATAAGGCATTGGTATTGGATGGAAGGGTCGTGCCATTTTGGGTTCCTGCTCATCTTGACTCCTTGATACTCCTGTGGCTTTATTCCTCTTAGTTCCAGAACGCTCATGTTCTCGGGTACTAGATGTATGCAGACACTGGAGAGCTTCAACAACATGATTCAAGGCACACTGGCATCGTTCCTCTAATGTACCTAACAGTGGTGGAGCCCTGAAAGTTATTTGAATTGTACCACATACCAAAAAAAAGCAACATAATTTTTTCTGTATACAATGTTGTTTTTATGTATGTACATTCATGCAACTGTGAGAGTACCTACTTGTGATGACCTATTTGTACCAGTAGGAGCAAAACTATGCTTGTAATGCACTATCTTCAGAATTAAGTATGTCACAATTTTAGTTTCTAGTAGATGTGTGTGTTAATGAGATGGTTTGGACATGTCGAGAGGATGGAATGAAATAGAATGACTTCGAGAGTGTATAAATCTGTAGTGGAGGGAAGGCGGGGTAGGGGTCAGCCTAGGAAAGGTTGGAAAGAAGGAATAAAGGAGGTTTTGTGTGTGAGGGGCTTGGACTTCCAGCAAGCTTGCATGAGCGTGTTAGATAGGAGTGAATGGAGACATGGTTTTCAGGACTTGACATGCTGTTGGAGTGTAAGCAAGGTAACATTTATGAAGGGATTCAGGGAAACAGGCAGGCCAGACTTGCTTCCTGGAGATGGGAAGTACCTACAGTGTCTGCACTCTGAAGGAGGGGTGTTAACGTTGCAGTTTTATAACTGTAGTGTAAGCATGCCTCTGGCAAGACAGTGATGGAGTGAGTGATGAAAGGTTTTCTTTTTTGGGCCACCCTGCCTTGGCAGGAAATGGCCGATGGGATAATAAAAAAAAAAATAGATGTGTGTATGTGTGCGTGTGAACATTCACAAATATTTTATTTATTTTGCAAGAAACTTCATCAGTACAAATGTTATCATTCAAATGATATGATGGATCAAAAAGAATAAATGCAATATATCTCATTATGTACATCATTGAATTTTAAACTCACTTATAATAATGTGACTGTGTTTTGTTGGTGTGAGGTTTACAAAGTGATGACACCTTAATAGTTGAACTGGGATTGGCAGGAGTAACTGACTGAGTGTCTTGCTTTGAACAACAATCTTCATCATCACTATCCACTGTGGAGGACCATTCACTATCTTCATCACTGCAGTCATCAAGAACTGGAGAGTCAGGGTCAATGTCTTGTGGTACATATAAATCAGACAGCATGTAGTGTGCTGAAGATACAATCTGCAGAGGCAAATGATTGAAAAAATATTATGTATCAGGATACAGTATAATTTTAAATGGAATAAAATTCACTGTAAATATAAGATAACTCAACCTAACTTAGAAACCTGATACTGTATATAATTTTGGTTGCTGTTTAGATGGTGTAAAAATCCAGGCATGCAAAAATGAATGCTTAGTTTGGAGGACAGTTTAAACTCACAGATTTTATCTTGAAATACTGGCATAGTAGATACCTAGAGTAAAGAAGATATACTGCACATTATACTGTATATCCATGAGGTATATGTGGAGTCAAAAAATGTTATCTATGGAGGCAAAGAAGGGAATGTATGAAAGTATAGTAGTACCAACACTCTTATATGGGTGTGAAGCTTGGGTTGTGAATGCAGCAGCGAGGAGGCGGTTGGAGGCAGTGGAGATGTCCTGTCTAAGGGCAATGTGTGGTGTAAATATTATGCAGAAAATTCGGAGTGTGGAAATTAGGAGGTATGGAGTTAATAAAAGTATTAGTCAGAGGGCTGAAGAGGGGTTGTTGAGGTGGTTTGGTCATTTAGAGAGAATGGATCAAAGTAGAATGATATGGAGAGCATTTAAATCTGTAGGAGAAGGAAGGCGGGGTAGGGGTCGTCCTCGAAAAGGTTGGAAGGAAGGGGTAAGGGAGATTTTGTGGGCGAGGGGCTTGGACTTCCAGCAGGCGTGCATGAGCGTGTTCGATAGGAGTGAATGGAGACGAATGGTATTTGGGACCTGACGATCTGTTGGAGTGCGAGCAGGGTAATATTTAGTGAAGGGATTCAGGGAAACCGGTTATTTTTATATAGCCGGACTTGAGTCCTGGAAATGGGAAGTACAATGCCTGCACTCTAAAGGAGGGGTTTTGGGATATTAGCAGTTTGGAGGGATATGTTGTGTATCTTTATACGTATATGCTTCTAAACTGTTGTGTTCTGAGCACCTCTGCAAAAACAGTGATTATGTGTGAGTGAGGTGAAAGTGTTGAATGATGATGAAAGTATTTTCTTTCTTTTTGGGTCACCCTGCCTCGGTGGGAGACGGCCGACTTGTTGAAAAAAAAAAAAAATCCATGTTCCTGCAACTGGAGGCTAAACTAAAGAAATAAAATTGTTAGACCACATAAGATAATTTTATTTCCCAAGAAGATACATTAAATATAACAGTATACAGTTTATCTTACAAGAAAAAGCCCACAGTTATGCATATAGTGCAAGGAAAACTTTGGCAAAGTTTTTCAAAGTATTTTTCTTATTTATTTTTGGTATCATAAAAGTTAGCAACAAGAATAGCAAAGTGTGTTCAACTGTCTATTTATTTTTTGGGGTAACTTGGTTACGTGTAAAATAGGAGTGTTCCTACATATTTTCATTGTAGAATGAATCTGTCATTCTAGTTTCTAGTCGCCTGTTGTGATGGTTATATATAAGGTGCTATCAAAAAGTTCCCAACTCCAATTTTCACAAGCTTCTTGGGTGAAATATGGTGGCAGTGTCATGTTGATAATTTTTTGTGTAACAGACTGAAATCTTTCAAAGAACACGTTATGTGTGTGTACGAAATTTTTTAAGCTTGGTAAAATGGTTTGTGAACCTCTCAAAATGCTTCAGCAAACATCTGGTGACAAAGTAGTGGGTTGGACGGTGTTTTTAAGGGTTTTCTCGATTCAATGCAGGATGAATGTCAGTTGATGATAAATGCTTTGGTTGTCTATCAATATCAAAAACAGATGCTATCATTGAAAAAGAAGACTATTCAAGATTATCCAGAATATTACAAGTGTTGTAGGAATTTCTTATAGGTCGTGTGAAAGCATTCTGATTTGAAAATTTGAACATAAGGCGAGTGATATAGGTAGTAGGTTGGTAGACAGCAACCGCCCAGGGAGGTATACTACCGTCCTGCCAAGTGAGTGTAAAACGGAAGCCTATAATTGTTTTACACGATGGTAGGATTGCTGGTGTCTTTTTTTTCTGTCTCATACACATGCAAGATTTCAGGTATGTCTTGCTACTTCTACTTACACTTAGGTCACACTGTACATACATGTACAAGCATATATATACACACCCCTCTGGGTTTTCTTCTATTTTCTTTCTAGTTCTTGTTCTTGTTTACTTCCTCTTATCTCCATGGGGAAGTGGAACAGAATTCTTCCTCCGTAAGCCATGCGTGTTGTAAGAGGCGACTAAAATGCCAGGAGCAAGGGGCTAGTAACCCCTTCTCCCGTATAAATTACTAAATTTAAAAAGAGAAACTTTCGTTTTTCTTTTTGGGCCACCCTGCCTTGGTGGGATACGGCCGGTTTGTTGAAAAAAAAAAAAAAAAAAAAGGAGAAACTTTTGTTTTTCCTTTTGGGCCACCCCGCCTTGGTGGGATACGACCGGTGTGTTGAAAGAAGAAAGAAAGAAAAGGAGAAACTTTCGTTTTTCCTTTTGGGCTACCACGCCTCGGTGGGATACGGCTGATGTGTTGAAAGAAAGAGATCTAAGTTAGCTTAGTAACAAAGACGAATTAGTTTTAGCTTACACAAAAGTGTTAATGTGCTAATCATAGATAAAAGAAGAAATGCACACAAGATGCAGCATGTATTTTTGTGGATGGAAATTAAAATTGGGTCTCTTACAATTTCATGATGGGGTTCCCAGCTAGCTGTCATCTAAGAAACTAAAAGAAATATAAAAAAAAGGTTCCAAAACCTTACAAACTGCAGATAAATTTTTAGATGATGTTCTGGTCTTTTCTGGACCACTAATCAATTGATACTGTATCCTGATAATGGTTCTAGGTAGACCATAACTTTATCTAAAGATTTATCTTCTATTCATGATTTAATTGCACATAAGAAATTTAAGTATGACTCCTGTTATGTACTCAAATGTTCTTGCCATACTTAGATGGCAGCACATAACCTATAACAAAAATACTGCAAACATAATAGCCCAAACTTAGCTTTCCCTACATAAAATATAAGCAAACATCTCTGACACACACTTTTACAAAGAATCTGTACCAAATCAACTCACCTTTGGGTATTCATTCTTATCTAGTAATGTAAGGCAATTCTTCAGCAGAGCTCTGATGGAAGCAATTTTAGTGTGAGCATCTTCTGAAGCACGCATGTTTTTAGCAACACGATAAAAAAGCATTGCAACTGGAATAGTGAAAGGGTTCCCAGAGTCTTCTGTCTGGGTCTCCTCTTCAGTTCCATCAACAGATACTCGACCCTCTCTACAAAGTGATGTCAGATCATAGAGCTTTACTATGTCATCATCTTTGCCTGCGGTAAAGAAATGTAAGTGTTAAGCATCTGCATTACACATACAGACAGCCACTGCTTTATTAATTATTAAAAATGAAAAAATCTGCTTTAGATTCAGACTCCCTCTATATCATTAATTTTGAAACAAATATTGGTCCAGAAGAGAGATTACTAATACATACACTGTTGCTTCACTTTACCTAGATATACCATAATGATCTTTCTTTCTTCTTTCAACACACCGGCCGTATCCCACCGAGGCAGGGTGGCTCAAAAGGAAAAACGAAAGTTTCTCCTTTTACGTTTAGTAATATACACAGGAGAAGGGGTTAATAGCCCCTTGCTCCTGGCATTTTAGTCGCCTCTTACAACACGCATGGTTTACGGAGGAAGAATTCTGTTCCACTTCTCCATGGAGGTAAGAGGAAATAAACAAGAACAAGAACTAGAAAGAAAAATAGAAGAAAACCCAGAGGATTATGTGTATATACACCTACCATCTGACTTACGACCTGCTCGACTTACGACGACTCGACTTACGACCGTGTTTTTTATGCCAAATTTCTGGGAAGTAAACAAGTGTTTGTGTTGTACACAGTGTTTATCCTAAACCTTACAGTATAAAATACAGCACTAACAGCATAAAAAGTAAAGTAAAACATGAAATACCAAAATAAAACAATAAAATAAAGTCATTACAAAAATGTTATGTTGATATTCAGTAGTAAAGTTCGACTTACAACCATTTCAACTTACGACTGGTTTCTCGGAACCGAACTCGGTCGTAAGTCGGATGGTAGGTGTATATGCTTGTACATGTATGTGTAGTGTGACCTAAGTGCAAGTAGAAGTAGCAAGACATACCTGAAATCTTGCATGTTTATGAGACAGACAAAAGACACCAGCAATCCTACCATCATGTAAAACAATTACAGGTTTTCGTTGTATACTCACTTGGCAGGATGGTAGTACCTCCCTGGGCGGTTGCTGTTTACCAACCTACTACCTAGGACCATAATGATCATCTTCTTCTTCTTTCAACATACCAGCCATATCCCACCGAGGTGGGGTGGCCCAAAAGAAAAAACTAAAGTTTCTCCTTTTAAATTTAGTAAAATATACAGGAGAAGGGGTTACTAGCCCCTTGCTCCCGGCATTTTAGTCGCCTCTTACGACACGCATGGCTTACAGAGGAAGAATTCTGTTCCACTTCCCCATGGAGATAAGAGGAAATAAACAAGAACAAGAATTAGAAAGAAAATAGAAGAAAACCCAGAGGGGTGTGTATATATATGCTTGTACATGTATGTGTAGTGTGACCTAAGTGTAAGTAGAAGTAGCAAGACTTACCTGTAATCTTGCATATTTATGAGACAGACAAAAGACACCAGCAATCCTACCATCATGTAAAACAATTACAGGCTTTCGTTTTACACTCACTTGGCAGGACGGTAGTACCTCCCTGGGTGGTTGCTGTTTACCAACCTACTACCTAGGACCATAATGATCATATTTCATATTTTAAGAACAGAGAGGTAAATTTATTTGAGGGAGAGAGATCATAGTAAGCAGCCATGAATTTTTAAAAACTATAACAATTTGAGGACAGTATTAAGTAAAACATGAAATATCAAAATAAAACAATAAAATAAAGTCATTACAAAAATGTTTTGTTGATATTCAGTAGTAAAGTTCGACTTACGACCATTTTGACTTACGACCGGTTTCTCGGAACCGAACTCGGTCGTAAGTCGGATGGTAGGTGTACAAGCACATATATACACACACCCCTCTGGGTTTTCTTCTATTTTCTTACTAGTTCTTGTTCTTGTTTATTTTCTCTTACCCCCATGGGGAAGTGGAACAGAATTCTTCCTCCGTAAGCCATGCGTGTTGTAGGAGGCGACTAAAATGCCAGGAGAAAGGGGCTAGTAACCTCTTCTCCTGTATATATTACTAAATGTAAAAGGAGAAACTTTTGTTTTTCCTTCTGGGCCACCCCGCCTCGGTGGGATACGGCCAGTGTGTTGAAAGAAAGAAAGAAGATTAAGTCAACAGAAGGTCTTGGTCAGATGACTAAAAGCTCCAGTGGCAGGTCATCAATGATTGTAACCTGCACCAGGAAACACTTGTCCAGTTTCCTGACGAACCTTACCTAGGCCATAGTATATAAGTATTTAAGGAATAACTAAAGCTAATACAGAAACTAGAAATTTAGATTTATACAATATTCAGAGTATAAATAATGCAATATGCAACACTGGCTACTATAATAATATAGAGTTGGCAAGTTGCAATATATTTCTTGGACAAGTTTACTGTTAATGGTAACAAGAGGTTGAAGTAGAAGTTATGAAAACGTAGAATGTGAACAAGGTAACATTTATGAAAGGATTCATGGAAACTGGTTAGTGTGACTTGAGTTCTGTATGTGGTAGGTACAGTGTCTGCACTGTACCTCCCACTGAAGTTTAACCCTTTGACTGTCGCAGGCCCCTTTCTGAAACTGTCATTCTATGTCGATAAATTTTTGAAAAAAAAAAAAAAACTTTTTTCTTATGAAATAATAGAGAATCTTTTCCCGATGGTAATGACACCAAAAGTTCGAAATTTGGTCGAAAACTCAGGGAATTACGCTCCCGCGAAATTAGCGGTCTTGGCAACATATGCGTATCGGCGATTTTGCCAACTTTGAGCCCTGTTTTCAGCCAATTCCCTTGTTCCAGTTGACCAAATTCATAGCTATTTCAATAGAACTCCATTTTATCTATCAGCTGAGTACAAGAAACTGCCCATTTACCAATTTGAACTACCCAATATAGTGGTCAGAAATTGGCAATTTGGCCAATTTCATGCAAATTAAAAAAGATGCCAATTTCAAAATAGGGTCCAGAATAAACAAGGTAGACATTCTTGGCACTAAAACAACATATCCTCTGTTCATTAGTCACATCTCTAGGCCCCTCTTATATTATTATTGCTTTCTATTTTGATTTTTTATTCATACAAAAAAATACAAAATTTACTGGTATGCAGACAACTGCATTATTGTAAAAATGGTATAAATAATATCAGTGCACTAGTGAAAGAATATTAGACTCCCCAGTTGACGTGTATTGGACGTGTGGTGTGATTTGTTTACTCCTGGACATTGGTAAAAATCGAACATTTCCGCTACTTTGAGCTCAGTTTCAAGGTCGTTTTCATCGTCAAAGTAATGAAAATCATCTCTATTTCTGTAATATGTTTTCCATTTTATCACCTAAGACCATGAAAACGTGAATACAATGATAAATACTATACGAAAATACACCTCAAAGTCGGCGCTTTAATAAAAAAAAACGATCAGTTTATTTTTCTCATTGCGCACTGTGTGCTGCAGGATTTTTTTTATGTGGTGCACACTGACCACACAGACCCTTTCTCTCACATGTGGGCCTACCAGCTTTCTCCCGCTTGATTTGAAGCCGCTAGAATTATTGAGTTTGTATACGTATATACGTCAGAAACAGTGGCTCATAAGACGTATTTATACGGCGTAAACAGTCAAAGGGTTAAAAGCCATCTGAACTGTGATGTCAGTACACTTCTGGCACCCTTCCTTGGTGGGAGATGGCCAGTGTGTTTTAAAAAAAGTTAGGAGGGATCTTTTTTTGTATTGGCTATAACATACACGGTGAGCACAAGTATTGCTAAACCAGGCTAGATAAAATTTGCAGCTAACTGAATAAAACATTATTATACAACTTAAAATATACTTGCCTTTAAAGAGCCAATATGTGTGGCCCTCTTTTGTTGCTTTACTGTTCAGAAATGAGAGAATATTCTGAGCCACATCCCGCACTAGTCTAGGGGAAAAGTGACAATCACACATGTGAGGCAAATCCTCAGTCTTGATTAACTCGTACTTTTGAACAATTCCATCAAGGTGGTAGCACATGACTACTTCAGGTACATTACACATAAGGTTATCCAGCCAATAGTCAATTCCTGGTAGGAGGAAAGAGAGTTTTTAATAATTAAACTTTTTTTTTTTTTTTTTTTTCAACAAGTCGGCCGTCTCCCACCGAGGCAGGGTGACCCAAAAAAGAAAGAAAATCCCCAAAAAGAAAATACTTTCATCATCATTCAACACTTTCACCACACTCGCACATTATCACTGTTTTTGCAGAGGTGCTCAGAATACAACAGTCTAGAAGCATACACATATAAAGATACACAACATATCCCTCCAAACTGCCAATATCCCAAACCCCTCCTTTAAAGTGCAGGCATTGTACTTCCCATTTCCAGGACTCAAGTCCGACTATATGAAAATAACCGGTTTCCCTGAATCCCTTCACTAAATATTACCCTGCTCACACTCCAACAGATCGTCAGGTCCCAAGTACCATTCGTCTCCATTCACTCCTATCTAACACGCTCACGCACGCTTGCTGGAAGTCCAAGCCCCTTACCCACAAAACCTCCTTTACCCCCTCTCTCCAACCCTTTCGAGGACGACCCCTACCCCGCCTTCCTTCCCCTATAGATTTATATGCTTTCCATGTCATTCTACTTTGATCCATTCTCTCTAAATGACCAAACCACCTCAACAACCCCTCTTCTGCCCTCTGACTAATACTTTTATTAACTCCACACCTCCTAATTTCCACACTCCGAATTTTCTGCATAATATTTACACCACACATTGCCCTTAAACAGGACATCTCCACTGCCTCCAACCGTCTCCTCGCTGCTGCATTTACCACCCAAGCTTCACACCCATATAAGAGTGTTGGTACTACTATACTTTCATACATTCCCTTCTTTGCCTCCATAGATAACGTTTTTTGACTCCACATATACCTCAACGCACCACTCACCTTTTTTCCCTCATCAATTCTATGATTAACCTCATCCTTCATAAATCCATCCGCCGACACGTCAACTCCCAAGTATCTGAAAACATTCACTTCTTCCATACTCCTCCTCCCCAATTTGATATCCAATTTTTCTTTATCTAAATCATTTGACACCCTCATCACCTTACTCTTTTCTATGTTCACTTTCAACTTTCTACCTTTACACACATTCCCAAACTCATCCACTAACCTTTGCAATTTTTCTTTAGAATCTCCCATAAGCACAGTATCATCAGCAAAAAGTAACTGTGTCAATTCCCATTTTGAATTTGATTCCCCATAATTTAATCCCACCCTCTCCCAAACACCCTAGCATTTACTTCCTTAACAACCCCATCTATAAATATATTAAACAACCATGGTGACATTACACATCCCTGTCTAAGACCTACTTTTACCGGGAAATAGTCTCCCTCTCTTCTACACACCCTAACCTGAGCCTCACTATCTTCATAAAAACTCTTTACAGCATTTAATAACTTACCACCTATTCCATATACTTGCAACATCTGCCACATTGCTCCTCTATCCACTCTATCATATGCCTTTTCTAAATCCATAAATGCAATAAAAACTTCCCTACCTTTATCTAAATACTGTTCACATATATGCTTCAATGTAAACACTTGATCTACACATCCCCTACCCACTCTGAAACCTCCTTGCTCATCCGCAATCCTACATTCTGTCTTACCTCTAATTCTTTCAATTATAACCCTACCGTACACTTTTCCTGGTATACTCAGTAAGCTTATTCCTCTATAATTTTTACAGTCTCTTTTGTCCCCTTTCCCTTTAATGCATATTACTTCTAAAAAAATTATATTTTACTTTAATGAAATAAATACATATACTAATAAAGCAAATCCTTTGACTTTCAAGAAATTCCTTAAAATGTTTAAGTACCAGTTTTTTCCATCTGAGGTGTGTGTGTGTGTGTGTGTGTGTGTGTGTGTACTCACCTAATTGTGGTTGCAGGGGTTGAGACTCAGCTCCTGGCCCTGCCTCTTCACTGAACACTACTAGGTCCTCCCTCTCCCTGCTCCATGAGCTTTATCATACCTTGTCTTAAAGCTATGTATGGTTCTCTCCTCCACTACGTCTGTCACTTTCTAGGCTATTCCACTGCCTGACAACTCTATGACTGAAGAAATACTTCCTAACATCCCTTTGACTTATCTGAGTCTTCAACTTCCAATTGTGACCCCTTGTTTCTGTGTCCCATCTCTGGAACATCCTGTCTTTGTCCACCTTGTCTATTCTGTGCAGTATTTTATATGTTGTTATCGTGTCTCCCCTGACCCTCCTGTTCTCCAGTGTCATCAGGCCAACTTCCCTTAACCTTTCATTGTAGGACAATCCCCTTAGCTCTGGTTGGTGTATGTGTGTGTGTGTATGTGTGCACTTACCTATTTGTGGTTGCAGGGGTCGATTCATAGCTCCTGGCCCTGCCTCTTCACTGATTGCTATTAGGTCGTCTCTCTCCCTGCTCCATGAGCTTTATCAAAACTCATCTTAAAACTATGTATGGTTCCTGTCTCCACTACGTCCATCACTTGCTAGGCTATCCCACTGCCTGACAACTCTATGACTGAAGAAATACTTCCTAACATCCCTTTGACTTATCTGAGTCTTCAACTTCCAATTGTGACCCCTTGTTTCTGTGTCCCATCTCTGGAACATCCTGTCTTTGTCCACCTTGTCTATTCTGTGCAGTATTTTATATGTTGTTATCATGTCTCCCCTGACCCTCCTGTCCTCCAGTGTCATCAGGCCAATTTCCCTTAACCTTTCTTCATAGGACAATCCCCGTAGCTCTGGGACTAGTCTTGTTGCATGCAAACCTCTGTACTTTTCCTAATTTCTTGATGTGCTTGACCAGGTATGGATTCCCTACTGGTGCAGCATACTCCAGCATGGGCCTGACATATATGTTGTACAGAGTCTTGAACAATTCCTTACTGAGGTATCGGAATGCTATCTTTAGGTTTGCCAGATGCCCATATGCTGCGGCAGTTATCTGACTGACGTGCACCTCAGATGTGCTCGGCATTATACTCACCCCAAGATCTTTTTCCTTGAGTGAGGTTTGCAGTCTTTGGGCGAAGAAGACCTGTGGTCTTCTTCGCCCTTCCCCAATCTTCATGACTTTGCATTTGGCAGGGTTAAATTCAAGGAGCCAGTTGCCAGACCAGGCTTGTAGCCTGTCCAGGTCTCTTTGTAGTCCTGCCTGATCCTTGACCGATTTGATTCTCCTCATTAACTTCACATCATCTGCAAACAAGGACACTTCTAAGTCTATCCCTTCTGTTATGTCATTCACATATACCAAAAACAGCACAAGTCCTAGGACTGACCCCTGTGGAATCCCGCTTGTCACAGGCGCCCACTCTGACACCTCGTCACATATGACTCGTTGCTGACTCCTTGTCAGATATTCTCTGATCCACTGCAGTGCCTTTCCTGTTATGTGTGCCTGATCCTCTAGCTTTTGCATTAACCTCTTGTGAGGAACTGTGTCAAAGGTCTTCTAGCAGTCCAAGAAAATGCAGTCTATCCACCCCTCTCTCTCTTGTCTTACTTCTGTCACCTTGTCATAAAACTCCAGTAGGTTTGTGACACAGGATTTTCCTTCCCCGAAACCGTGCTGGTTGTCAATTATATGCTTGTTTCTTTCCAGATGCTCCTGATGATCTTCTCCATGACTTTGCATACTATACACGTTAGTGACAGGTCTGTAGTTTAATACCTCATGTCTGTCTCTTTTTAAAAATTGGGACTACATTTGCCATCTTCCATACCTCAGGTATTTGCCCAATTTCAATGGATGTGTTGAAGACCTTTGTTAGTGACACACAGCATCTTTGCTCCCTCTCTAAGGACCCACGGAGAGATGTTGTCTGGTCCCACCGCCTTTGAGGTATCAAGTTCACATAGCGGCTTCACCTCCTCCTCAGTTATGTGCACCTCATCCAGCACTTGCTGGTGTACCTCCCTGTTCTGAATTCCTGAAGTCCTACCTGTTTTTACTGTAATTTTTTTTTCAACAAACCAGCCGTATCCCACCAAGGCAGGGTGGCCCAAAAAGAAAAATGAAAGTTTCTCTTTTTAAATTTAGTAATTTATACAGGAGATGGGGTTACTAGCCCCTTGCTCCTGGCATTTTAGTTGCCTCTTACAACACACATAGCTTACAGAGGAAGAATTCTGTTCCACTTCCCCCATGGAGATAAGAGGAAATAAACAAGAACAAGAACTAGAAATAAAATAGAAGAAAACCCAGAGGGGTGTGTATATATATGCTTGTACATGTATGTGTAATGTGACCTAAGTGTAAGAAGTAGTAGCAAGACGTACCTGAAATCTTGCATGTTTATGAGACAGAAAAAAGACACCAGCAATCCTATCATCATGTAAAACAAATACAGGCTTTCATTTTACATTCACTTGGCAGGACTGTAGTACTTCCCTGGGCAGTTGCTGTCTACCAACCTACTACCTATATCCACTGTAAATACTTCTTTAAATCTCATGTTGAGTTCCTCACATACCTCTTGGTCATTTCTTGTGAACTCCCCACCATCCATCCTCAGCCTGATTACCTGGTCCTTGAGTGTTGTTTTCCTTCTGATGTGGCTATATAACAGCTTCAGGTAACGCTTGACTTTCGATGCTATGTCATTTTCATATTGTCACCGAGCGTCCCTTCTTATCTGTACATATTTGTTTCTGGCTCTTCGGCTGATCTCTCTATTTTCCTGGGTCCTTTGTCTTCTGTACCTTTTCCATTCTCTAGTGCACCTAGTTTTTGCCTCCCTACACCTTTGGGTGAACCAAGGACTCATTCTGGTCTTCCCATTATTTCTGTTTCCCTTGGGAACAAACCTCTCTTCTGCCTCCTTGCATTTTGTTGTCACATAGTCCATCATTTCTTTTTCTGGTTTTCTTGCCAGTTCTCTCTCCCACTGAACATCTTGCAGGAAGTTCCTCATGCCTGTGTGTGTGTGTGTGAGAGAAATTGCCTGAGTGTGAATACAAGGTGACTGACCGGTGTGAGCTCTAGCTCCTGGTCTTGCTTTTTACCACCGAGATACATCAATGATGAAGACAAGGTTTACGTGCAAAATGGCAAAGTTCATGAATTTTACAAAATAAGGAAGCGGACAGCATGTTTTCAGCGATGTACTCAGAGAAACTTGGAGCTGTTGCAGTGGTTAGAAAAGCAGAGGATGAACCTTGAGGCGAGTAGGTATGAGGTGCAGTGCAGTGGAACCTCGACTTACGAGTGCCCCAACATACAAGTTTTTCGAGATATGAGCCGTCACTCGAATGATTTTCTGCTCTAAGTTACGAGCCAAAATCTGCGTTATGAGCGAGCTTTCCCCTCTAAGGAGGTTCCATGACACTGGTGAGGGGGCTCTTGATCTAGGGAATTGGATCTGTGCTCCAGTTCCCTAAATTAAGTCTGAAGACCTTCCATCCTCTTCCCCCCATAACCCCTGTATAATCCTACAGCTTTAGCGCTTTCCCATAATAATAATAATAATAATAACGAGTGAGCTTCAGAATGCATCCACTAGTTGGCGCAGCGAAAGCCACAACATCCACTCAGCAATGCATGTGTTACCTTGCCTGGGAAGCATTTCTCTTGTGTTTTGCTTGCATTGTGTGCAGTTATTTTGGCAAATTTCTTTTTTCTAGCCATGGGTCCTAAGAAAGTAAGTGCAAAGGACAGTACCGAGAAGAAAAAGAGGATGATGTCCATGGAATTAAAGCATGGAAATCATAGATGAACACAAGCGAGGTGTGCAGGTTGTGGACTTGGCCAGGCAGTACGAGTGTAGTATTTCTATGATATGTACAATACTAAAGCAGGAGGAGTTGATAGTGCCAGCCAAGAGCGTTACAATAATTTCTAAGCTGCAGACCTCTGTCCATGAAAAGATGGAGAAGCCGCTGTCGATGTGGTTGACGGAAAAGCAGCTCACAGGAGATACTGTGACTGAGCATATCCTCTGTGAGAAGGCACAAGGCATTTACGTTGATTTGCTGCAGGAGACCCCAGGTGCTCAATGGATGAGGCATTGGAAAAGTCATTTAAAGCCAGTCGGGGCTGGTTTGACAATTTTAAAAGGGAGGCCAGCATTCACTCTGTCATCAGGCATGGTGAGGGAGCAAACTCTGATGTGATGGCAGCTGAGGATTTCCTCAAAACTTTTGCAGAAGTGATAGCAGCTGAAGGATACATCCCCCAGCACATAACATTTTATTCATTCTAGAGTATATATCATGTTTCTATGTTATTTATATTGTTTATTATGTCATATTAGATCAATTGTGATAGATAAATAAGCCATAAAGGTGATATTATTGTTATATTGAAGTATTTTGTCCTACCTCCCAAGAGCAGGAATTCCACTGTAATGGATTAATAGCATTTCAATTAAGTTAAATAAGGAAAATTGATTTGATATACTGTACAGTGGTACCCCGAGTTTTGTACAGCTCCCAACTCGAATAATTATGTAAGTGTATTATTGTAAGTGCTTTTGTAAGTGTATTTTTGGGAGTCTGAAACGGATTAATCTAATTTACATTATTCCTTATGTGAACAAATTCGTTTGGTAATGGCACTGGAACAGCCTTCTGGAATGAATTATGGTCGAAACTTGGGGTACCACTGTACAAGCAAATTGAGTTATGAGCTAGGTCACGGAACCGATTAAACTCATAAGTTGAGGTTCCACTGTAATGTATTTTGGATACAATTTTATTGTATAAGGTAGCATAACTTATATGGAAACCACTCACAGAGGTAAATGAAGGGGAAGACCTTGGAATAATCTAATGTAATGATGTCTTGCTGCGAACAGCAAAGCCAAGAAGATACTTGACTATACCAGTGTTGTGTGATTTTTTTTTTTAACACGTTGGCCGTTTCCCACCGAGGCAGGGTGACCCAAAAAGAAAGACAAAACTTTCATCATTTACCATCACTCACACATAATCACTGTCTTATACAAACAATAAAATATTTAAAGGTATGGTGGCACGAAAAATGTAATTCAAGGAGCAGAAGAGACGTTACTGCTATGGTTTCATCACATAGAAAGGATTTTCATGATAACAAGTGACAGTGTGAATAATGATGAAAGTTTTTTTTTTTTTTAAATAAAGAAGCCTGAGCTCTGGGTCACCCTGACTTAGTGGAAAATATCTAGTGTAACAAATAATTGAAAAATCTTGGAACCCCTGGGTATATTCTTTAAAAAAAAAGTTAGAAATAGCAAGTTTAACCCTTAAACTGTCCAAATGTAGATCTACGCTTTTTTTACATGCTTTCTTATGGAGAAAATCAAGGTCAGAGAGCTAAGCGTGAAAACGTAGATCTACGTTTGGACAGTTGAAGGGTTAATAAATACATTTATCAATGCAAACAAATATTCTTCCTAACAATTATTACAACATATACTAAGGCAATATCAGAAAGCAACCTGAATTTGACCAGAAAACTTCTCATATTAAAATAATTATTTTTTCTACTAAATTACTCACCCGTTAATATGTTGATGGGCTTGCTCATATCCCGGAGCCTTAATGAGACGCAAGGATGAGTTCCACCACCAAAAATGGGTAGATCTGTCCCAATCAGCATGTGAAGATCTTCAAAATTCCACACAACATTACGAGTAAATGATTGACCAGAGGGTTGAGGAAGCTGCTCTTCTAATGGAGGTTCAGGCATCATTTCATTCATGGGTAAGGAGGGCTAAAGTGCAAATAATTTTTTATTAGAAAAAATACTATGATTTATATGAATTTTATACATTAATTATATAATGTAATTTATAACTGGCATGAATATTCACTTCAAGCAATGAAACTTCTATATCCCATGCACCATAAAAAAAAATTAAAAAAAAAAATTCAATGTATGTCAAAGGCCCTAAAATCTGGAATACCCTACCTGAGAACTCTAGAACTGCAGACACATTCATCACCTTCAAAACTACCATTAGAAAACATCTTATCTCCCTGATACACCCCGTCAACTAACTACACAAATACCACCTGGTGGTTCACACTTACACTCGCTCACTCATTTGACCATAAACAGAAATATTAATCTCAGTCTTAAAATAATGAATCCTGTGATACTCCAATACTGAAACTATATACTGTGCCAAAACAAAAGCATTCACATTGCTAAACTCACAAACTAGTATTTAGTCACTTAGCCATAATACCAACTTACCTCATAATTTGTAATATTTTACAATTAAGAATAAAACTAAGTATGCCCGAAATGCCTAGCCATGCTAAGCGTTCTAGTGGTACACTCTGTAATCACAATTTTACTACATGTAAACCAAACAATAACCAAATTTCTGTAAACTCAGCATTGTAATCCTTATAGAGAATAAACTTTGAATTTGAATTTGAATAAAAAATATTTTATAAAACATTATGTCATCAATTAGTTAACAACAAAAATAAGAAGCCTGAAAGAACTATCTTTATGTAAAATAATGAAAATATATCATGCTGTACTGTTTACTCTAGCATCAACTTAAGTTCTTATAAAGCACAAAAAATTAGTTACCCTTCGAACAGAAACAGGACTTTCTGTTACTGGCTGTGGTGGTGGACTGGCAGGTCTAGCTTCTTCATTTATGCTATGGTATAAAAACTTCGAAAGCAAGCTCCGACTTTGGACAACATTTCGACTCTTGTTTGGGCGCACTAGCACATTCTCCTAATAGAAAATTTAATTAACATGTATACAATATTTTCTCCATGGGGAAGTGGAACAGAATTCTTCCTCCGTAAGCCATGCGTGTCGTAAGAGGTGACTAAAATGCCGGAAGCAAGGGACTAGTAACCCCTTCTCCTGTATATACAGTGGACCCCCGCATAACGATTACCTCCGAATGCAACCAATTATGTAAGTGTATTTATGTAAGTGCGTTTGTACGTGTATGTTTGGGGGTGTGAAATGGACTAATCTACTTCACAATATTCCTTATGGGAACAAATTCGGTCAGTACTGGCACCTGAACATACTTCTGGAGTGAAAAAATATCGTTAACCGGGGGTCCACTGTATTACTAAATTTGAAAGGAGAAACTTTCGTTTTTCCTTTTGGGCCACCCCACCTCGGTGGGATATGGCTGGTAGGTGGAAAAGGAGAAGAGTATACAATATTTAAACCATGCTGAATAATATTTGTAAGGGAAAAAGGAGAAGTACTGAATGTAAAATACAAAATACTGGGTAACCATTTCTAAAAAATCAATGAAATTACATATAAATTATGGCTCAGGAATGCATCTTTCATTATACTGTAATACAGATCTCAATGGAAAAATATGTTTCAAATTCTAAACAATCGACTAACAATTTTCAGGAACGCATTACTGTTATAAATGGGGAGGACTGACTATACTCAGAATGACATACTATTGACATTTTATTGATTATTGGTGCTTCTTGTAGCTTACCTTGTGTGTTAAAGACTGAAGAACATGTTCGAAAAAGAATCTTCGAAGCCAATGCCACTCTTTTTCAGTCTGTCTTAATAAGTATTTGTAAACATCAAATTCATCTATCAGAAGGGTCTTGCCCACCCGATGAATCATCATGCTGACATGAGATTTTGGATTATAGGGGATTTTTAGTAGTTTCTTAATGTTTTCTGCATCTGATATGACATCCACTTCACCAATGCAATCTGGGAACTGATGGGCCATAAGAAAACTGCAAGCATGAAAATTTATATAAGTACAGTAGCCACTCCCTTTTTAAAATAAAAACATATATACATATGCAATTTCTTCTGTGTATACAGTATACCCATACAGATATAACCATGCACAGATAAATATATGAATACAGTCATCCCTCGGTATCCATGGGAAGTGGTTCCAGAGCCCCTGTGAATACTAAAATTTGCAGTAGCTGAAGTCCCTTACATAAAATGGTGTAGTATATGCATATAACCTACACACATCCTCCTAAATACATACTTTAAATCATCTCTAGATCATTTTTAATATTTAATACAATGTAAATATTATGTTAATAGTTGTTATACTGTATTGTTTAGGGAATAATGATGGTGCTCGCCAAAACCCTGATTCTTCTCTCTTGATAACCCTTTTTAGAGACATTTTTTTCACAGAAACAAAGGGTACACACAAACAGTAAACGAACAAGATACGCAGCAAACAATGCTCAAACAATGAGCACAGTTCACCTACATATCACTCTATTTGCATGGCTTCAGAGTAGTGCTTGGCATACAGCAAATTCAAATTTTGCTTTAGGAACTTTCTGGATTTTTTTTTTTCAAATAATTTTGATATGTGATTGGATGAATCTGCAGATGAAGAACTCGCAGATTAAGTCTACTTGAATTTGCAAATCAAAGCCTGACCCTTATCTTCAAATACATTTACCATTAAACATTTGATCCTTTTATGTACAACATTACTTAGTGATAGTGTGAACAACGGTGAAAATGTTTATTGTGTTTTGGGTCACCCTGCCTCAGTGGGAAATGGCCAGGGTGTTTAAAAAAAAAAAAAAAATTCTTACCAACACATGTTATTTCCTGAGGATGCTTGTCTAGCATCTTTTTCAACAATTAAGATTTGCAGTTGTAAACAATCAGGTTAACTTCTCTCATTCTATCAACTTAACCTTCTTTAACAAGAGACAATACCTTGAAAAATCTGCATGTTTCTGTGTTGGGTTAGGTAGTCGAATGGAAGTATGTTCCTGCAACCAATTTGATGGTGGCATCTTCAGATCCGTGTTTGACTGAAGTTCATGGAACTGAACGGGAAATTCCACCTAAAAATTATTAGACAATATAAATAAATATATACTGTTTCTATAATACAGTTGTTAAACGTATTTATAGAAGGAGTTGTAAAAGAAGTGAATGATAGGGTGTTGAAACACACACATATCCATACATATATGCACACATACATTCATATACGTATATAGATAAATTGATTCATACATACATCCACATACAAACATGCATCCATATACATACATACAAATACATCTATAAAACAGTAAGCATTTATGCTTGAACTTGCCTAAATACTGTACCAGAGGAACTAGGAAAGAAATACAGTGGACCCCCGACTTACAATATTAATTCATTCCAGAAGTCTGTTCGGGTGCTGTTACCGAACGAATTTGTTCCCATAAGGAATATCGTAAATTAGATTAGTCCGTTTTAGACCCCCAAAAATACACGTACAAAAGCACTTACAAAAATACACTTACATAATTGTTCGAGTTGGGAGCTGATCGTAAGGCAGGGGTCCACTGTATTTTGGAGATTAAGTACCATGCTAGTTAGTGTTAATGTCTTGAAGAAAACTATATACAGTAGTACCCCTGTATCCATGGGGGATACGTTCCAAGACCTACCATGGATACCCGAAACCATGGATAGTAGTGAATCCTATATACAGTGGACCCCCGGTTAACGATATTTTTTCACTCCAGAAGTATGTTCAGGTGCCAGTACTGACCGAATTTGTTCCCATAAGGAATATTGTGAAGTAGATTAGTCCATTTCAGAGCCCCAAACATACACATACAAACGCACTTACATAAATACACTTACATAATTGTTCGCATTCGGAGGTGATCGTTATGCGGGGGTCCACTGTATGTTGTTTTTCCTTTACATACATACCTATGATAAAGCTTAACTGATAAATTATGCACAGTGTGTTGAGAATTAGCATCTGTTCACTGATGGGAAGCACTTCATGGCCTCTCTTAGGCTTTGAAGAACTGTAGCATCACTACTTTTGCACTCTGGAGCCATTATTAAGCAAAATTAAGGGTTATTTTTGGGCCATAGTAAACTGTGGATAACTGAAACAGCAGAAACCAAATCTGCAGATACAGTAGTCTATATCCATATAACTCATAAGTTTAAAAGAAAACATAATAACCAAAGATCATCACTGACTTACTTCAGAACTCTTGACAACTGCTGCAGAATGAATGTGTAAATCTTGGTTTTCATTTAAGTTTCCATCATATACACTGGCATCAATATTTGCTTGGTTATATGGCTCTTGGCTCTTACTCTGACTGATAAACTCTCCATGGCTAGTGTTTCTTGATGGTTTTCGTATGGGACTCAAAGCTTGAGAAGCCCTTGCAACAGTCTTTGATGGTGAGATGACAAGTGAATTTGTCATTCTTGGAGTAAGGGCTACCTCCACGTCTTCATCTTTAACTTTTGTAGCTTCTGCTTCTCCATCAGTGGACTCCATAACCTTGAAAGAGAAATGTATCAGTATATATTACAAATTTGCTAATTACAGAATACGTATACAATATAAAAACAATCTGGGTGTACAGTACTGTGTGGGGAAGAGGAAGTGAAGAGTGAATGTTGAAAAAAAGGGGTACTGATATTCTAAGCACAGATGAAGTGTGGTAATTTTGTAGCAAACTGGAGGCTGTCAAATCATGCTCAGTGTGCATTAAAGGTGCAGCCATCAGAATTTATTGCAATACTGTACTTATAGGAGACATTAAACCTGTGCAGATCATTCAGTACAAGGTGTGTTGGAGGCTTCATCTTCAGAATGATAATCTCATAACCACCACCTTACTCTCACAGCCAGACTGTGAGAGTAAGGTGGTGGTTACAGCCAGGAAAGTATCTGGGACTAACTAACACAGGCATAACATAAATAATAATAATACAGTAAAGCCAAATATCATGCATTCATTATAACCTAGTCCAACTTAAGGAAAATACATATAATGAACTGTATTTACTAAATTTATCAAGTTAAACACAAAGCATAATTTGAGTGATATTCAAATACTGTATAAACATACTGCATTCTATATTTCTATGCTCTACCACAATTACACAAAAGTGCCTTACCGTATATTATTTCATTATCTGGGTAGAGAGAGACATTTCCTCTGCAGATTCACTTGAGTGAGTCTGTCAAGTGTGAATAGCATTACAAAAAACAGTAAAAAATGCCTGAATAAGATACAAACAATGAACAAGCATCACATCTTAACACCAGCCAGTGATGCTTCACTGTATGACATCATATATATTACATCCTGTGCAGTCGCCAGAAGGAGAACCCTCCAAGTAAACTGGAAGCATAAAGAACTGTACTGACTTGATAAAGTTATCTTACAATAAATCTGCAAAACTGACAACCAACATATGCCCATAACAATGTGCTTATTGCAATCACTGTACAAATATATAATATTGTCTCTACAGCAACAGGTACAGTAATTAATCTGAATAATTCTTATCTTTTCTAAACTCAAACTAATACTTTTTGCATTTGATATGTCACTGATGTGCACATCCTCATAGTGCACTGGTTAGCAGGCTTGGCTTATACCCAAGAGAACAAGTAGATAAACCCCACTATGAGGCAAGACATATGGATAAGTCTCCTAAAACCTATTGCCCATTATCTGGGAGTTTGTCAAATGTTGTGGGTTTCATCCTGGTTGAGGACCTCATCCTGATCAAGCTATCCTAAATACAAATAACAAACTCAAAGAATATTCAACGGGATTGCAACCAGCAATGTCACACATCAAGATGCATGTTATTTATATTGGAAGAAATTATAAAGACTAATTCCTGAGCCTAAACCTAGACTTAAAAAATCTGCAATTTAACCTGGCCCCCAAGAACTCTAGCATTATCATCTTGGCTCAAGTGTGCGATGTTTATATTTACAATTACAGTATCAGTGTGATGCTACCATTTATCCCACTTACCACAAGGACCTCAATGGAAATAAGTCACTTTGACTATTTTGGGTTATCCTAGGTCATTTACATTAGGTATGATAATTGTACCTATGTGCACCTGTGCCTAAATAAACTTACTTACTTATTAATGATACTTCCACGTTTTCATTTATATATGCATTATGTTTTATGCTGGTCTCATATTGTCAATGTTGTTATTTCTTAGTTTGGGAGTTAGTACTAATTATGCTTTATTTTATTACTTTATACATCCCTGAAATTTAGAAGAATGAGAAAATATACAGTACAGAACCAGCAATTTAGGGCAATACTAAGTTTAGCTGCTCAGTAGAGTTCAGTGTGCATTTAACCATACCTTAACTGTATACAATCTTCCTCTTGTAATAGTATTTATGCAGTTAATATGTCCTAAAATAACAATTTGTCTAAGAAATAAATATTACTGCAAAGGTCTGGGTACCTTGTTTGTATGACAAAAAAAAAAAATAAGGGAAATGGCATTGTTTCATCAAGCAGCTAAACTCAATGTGTATTGACTGCAATTTATATAAAAATAATTGCCATGTCTGAACGACATTAGTGAGGGGCAATTTTGTGGTAAATAGCAAGACCTGTGAAGCCTCTGATAAATTCTGTTAAAGTTTTACTTAACCAGGTGCCTTTAAAAATGGGGTCTTAATCCATTTTGATATCAAATGATAAAAGTATAAAAAGCTCATTATCATATTTGTGGGGCTTTGAGATGCAGGTCACTGTCCCTGTTCACCTAGCAGTAAGTAGGTACCTGGGCATTAGTCCACTGGTGTGGGTCACATCCTGGGGGACAAGACTGAAGGACCCAAATAGAAATAAGGCAACAGTCCTCGATGGTGCACTGACAAGGGTTTGCATTAATGATGTAAACTTATGTAAAAACCAAAATAAAACCCATTACCTGGAACTTCATCACCAAACCAAAGTTTACTTTCTTTCAAGATTTCTAAATCTAAAATTTATTCATCATACTGAATATCATTATTATTATATTTAGGGGGAAGTGTTAAACCTGTCAAAGTCACTTATGGTCTGGGGGAAATTATTATTATTATTATAATCAAGGGGGTAGCCTAGTACGCGTAACGCCTCCGATAGGATTATACGAGCCCAGGGGGGGGGGGATGTGAAGGCATTCAGGTAAATACGTGGGATATGGAGCACTTAATCTAATTCCCTAAATCAATGAGCCCCTCACCAACATCAAGGAACCTTCCATGAGGGGGGTCTGGGGGGGGAAGAGGCAATCATGTTTGATCTGAGGAAGGGGACAACAGATCCACTTCCCTGAATCATGAACTCATCACTAATAAGTTATTTAGGTACGTACAGGTATACATAAGTACAATTATCATACATAGTTTAACATATGTGTAAATTACCTAGGATAACCCCTCAAAAAGAAAATTTATTGCCCAAAGTTGTATACATGTATACTGTATATTATATACATTATATTAAGTTGTATATCCTGTATAACATATTACATACCTTATATTAAGTTGTATACTGAATATTACATACACTATATCAAGTTGTATATATATACTCTATATTACATACACTATATTAAGTTGTATATAATGTATATTACATACTGTATATTAAGTTGTATATAATGTATATTACATACTGTATATTAAGTTGTATATAATGTATATTACATCACTGTAATTAAGTTGTATATAATGTATATTACACACTGTATATTAAGTTGTATATAATGTATATTACATACTGTATATTAAGTTGTATATAATGTATATTACACACTGTATATTAAGTTGTATATAATGTATATTACATACAATCTACATTTAAACTACTTACAAAGTTGTGATGATTCAGTTATGATATACTGAGGTTATGGTGGAGGATGAGGCTGTGGTGGAGGATGAGGTTATGGTGGAGGATGAGGTTGTGGTGGAGGATGAGGTTATGGTGGAGGATGAGGCTGTGGTGGAGGATGAGGTTATGGTGGAGGATGAGGTTATGGTGGAGGATGAGGTTATGGTGGAGGATGAGGTTGTGGTGGAGGATGAGGTTATGGTGGAGGATGAGGTTGTGAAGGACTCAAGTTGTGGCAGACTGAGGATGTGGTAAACTGAGGTTTTGAATGGACTGAGGTTGCTGAGGACCGAGGTTGCTGAGGATCAAGGTTGTGGTGGAGGACCCAGGTTATGGAGGATCTAGACTATAGTTCACTGAGGCTGTGGTGTGGGAGGACTTTGTGGTGGTGAACGAAGATTGTTGGAGTAGTGTGCTGGAGCAGCTGCTCCCTCACACAAACGTTGGTTCCTGCTGCCGTCCTCAGTCACACAACGTTCCCACACTTCTATCTGATTCCACTCACTTCCATACAATTCTGTACACTTCTATACACTTCTACACACTTCTATACACTTCTACACACTTCTACACACTTATATACACTTCTACACACTTATATACACTTCTACACTTGTATACACTTCTTCACACTTGTATACACTTCTACACTTATATATACTTCTACACACTTATATACACTTCTACACACATACACTTCTACACACTTATATACACTTCTGAACTTATATACTTCTGCACACTTATATACACTTCTACACACTTATATACACTTCTACACATTTATATACACTTCTACACTTGTATACATTTCTACACACTTATATACACTTCTGCACTTATATACACTTCTGCACTTATATACACTTCTGCACTTATATACACTTCTGCACTTATATACACTTCTGCACTTATATACACTTCAGCACTTATATACAGCAAGGGAATGAGTGAGCTACTCAAGTCCCAATATGACTCAGTTTTTAGCAAGCCGCTAACCAGACTGAGAATCTAAGATCTAAATGAATTTTTTATGAGAGCCACAGAATTTGGTTAACACAAGCCTATCTGATGTTATCCTGACGCCAAATGACTTCGAACAGGCGATAAATGACATGCCCATGCACTCTGCCCCAGGGCCAGACTCATGGAACTCCGTGTTCATCAAGAACTGCAAGAAGCCCCTATCACGAGCCTTTTCCATCCTATGGAGAGGGAGCATGGACACGGGGGTCGTCCCACAGACATAGCCCCACTCCAAAAAGGGGGCAGTAAAGCAATAGCAAAGAACTGCAGACCGATAGCATTAACATCCCACATTATAAAAATCTTTGAAAAGGGTCTAAGAAGCAATATCACCACCCATCTAGAAATCCATAAATTACACAACCCAGGGCAACATGGGTTTAGAACAGGTCGCTCCTGTCTGTCTCAGCTACTGGATCACTACGATAAGGTTCTAAATGCACTAGAAGAAAAAACGAATGCAGATGTAATATACACAGATTTTGCAAAAGCCTTCGACAGGCGTGACCATGGCGTAACAGCGCACAAAATGCGTGCTAATGGAATAACAAGAAAAGTTGGTATATGGATCTATAATTTCCTGACAAATAGAACACAAAGAGTAGTAGTCAACAGAGTCAAGTTCGAGGAGGCTACGGTGAAAAGCTCTGTTCCACAAGGCACAGTACTCGCTCCCATCTTGTTCCTCATCCTCATATCTGACATAGACAAGGATGTCAGCCACAGCACCGTGTCTTCCTTTGCAGATGACACCCGAATCTGCATGACAGTGTCTTCCAATGCAGACACTGCAAAGCTCCAGGCGGACATCACCCAAATCTTACTTAGACTATACAACAAACATTGTCCTATAAAAACAAAACAGATCACAAACAAACGGCTTGGTTGCCCATGGCTAACCAGCACCATCCTGAAATCCATTGACAAGAAACACCAATATGAAAAGCAATATAGACAGGGCTTAATACACAAAGATATTCTTAAACACTATTCATCAGCTCTCACCAAAGTAATTAAGAAAGCCAAACAACTATACTACTCCAGTAGATTCACAGACACTAGAGGAGATATAAAAAAGACCTGGAAAACACTCTCAGATTCTAGGGACCCACAAACTGAGAAAAACCAAAAATATTGTCCTAACTAAACCTAATGAAACACCACTACATCCCACTGACACAGCTAACAAGATAAACAACTTCTTCTCAACCATAGGATCTAATCTCGCCAGTAAAATCCCACATACCAATGCCCATGCCGGGGACTACCTAGATGGGAATTTCCCTAATTCCTTCTATCTTGCACCAACTGAGCCCACGGAAGTCACTGAGATTATAAAGTCACTTAAAAAATAACTCGGGGAATCTGTCTCATGTCCCACCATTACTGTACAAGCGAGCGGCCCATGTCCTTTTGCATGCTATTTCATTACTTTTTAACAAGTCACTAGAGACTAGCACCTTCCCGAAACTACTCAGATGGCAAGGGTTACACCAATACATAAAGGTGGTGACCCTACAGACTTAAACAACTATAGGCCAATATCTAACTTACCATTGCTTTCCAAAATCTTTGAGAAACTCGTGCACAGGAGACTGTATTCATTTATAATGGCTCAAAACATACTCAACCCCTGCCAATTTGGATTCAGGAAAAATAAAAGCACTAATGATGCAATCATAAAAATGCTAGATCTGCTTTACACAGCATTGGAAAATAAGGAATATCCACTAGGAATTTTTATTGACCTAAGAAAAGCTTTTGACACAGTAGACCACGACATCCTACTCCACAAACTTGATCATTACGGTATAAGAGGCCATGCGCTTGCTTATTTCAAATCTTACATTACTAATAGGTATCAGTATGTCACCATTAAAGACACAGCATCAGCAACACGGCCACTTGATACTGGAATACCGCAGGGAAGTGTCCTTGGTCCCCTGCTCTTCCTCATATACATCAATGACCTTCCAAACGTATCCCAACACCTGAAACCCATTCTCTTTGCTGATGACACGACTTATGTCATCTCTCACCCTAATCTTGCCACCCTCAACACCATTGTGAATGAGGAGCTGATTAAAATATCGACTTGGATGACAGCCAATAAACTTACGCTTAACACTGACAAAACTTACTACATTATGTTTGGTAGCAGAGCAGGAGATGCACAAATTAACATTAAGATTGACAACACTCTAATTACCAGAAATAATGGGGGAAAATTCCTATGCTTATACCTTGACAACAACCTGAATTTCAGCACCCATATCCAGCATATAGCCAAAAAAGTATTACCTGGAGAGAGTTTTGGGGGTCAATGCCCCCGCAGCCCGGTCTGTGACCAGGCCTCCTGGTGGATCAGCATCCAAAACGGTTGGGATCCTCTCCAAGATACGATACTACGTGCCGCAAAATGCCCTTCTCACACTATACCACTCACTTATTTATCCATACCTCACCTATGCTATTTGTGCTTGGGGATCAACTGCAGCAACACACCTAAAGCCAATAATAACCCAACAAAAAGCTGCAGTAAGAATAATCACTAAATCCCATCCCTGGCAGCACACCCCCCCCCCCACTCTTCAAAGATCTAAACTTACTCCCAGTTCAGTACATCCACACTTACTACTGTGCAATCTATATCTACAGGGCCTTAAAACTCTAATATCAACCTTGACCTAAAACGCTTTCTTGATAGTTGTGACAGAACCCACAGGCATAACACCAGAAACAAACATCTCTACGACATTCCCCGTGTCCGACTTAACCTTTACAAAAATTCAATGTATGTCAAAGGCCCTAAAATCTGGAATACCCTACCTGAGAACTCTAGAACTGCAGACACATTCATCACCTTCAAAACTACCATTAGAAAACATCTTATCTCCCTGATACACCCCGTCAACTAACTAGACGAATACAACCTGGTGGTTCACACTTACACTCGCTCACTCATTTGACCATAAACAGAAATATTAATCTCAGTCTTAAAATAATGAATCCTGTGATACTCCAATACTAAAACTATATACTGTGCCAAAACAAAAGCATTCACATTGCTAAACTCACAAACTAGTATTTAGTCACTTAGCCATAATACCAACTTACCTCATAATTTGTAATATTTTACAATTAAGAATAAAACTAAGTATGCCCGAAATGCCTAGCCATGCTAAGCGTTCTAGTGGTACACTCTGTAATCACAATTTTACTACATGTAAACCAAACAATAACCAAATTTCTGTAAACTCAGCATTGTAATCCTTATAGAGAATAAACTTTGAATTTGAATTTGAATTTGAATTCTTTGTATTGGCGACAAAGTCTCGTTACAACAGGTCCAAGTAGTGGAACCTCAAAGCCTAGATACCTGTATCTGCTTACATGTTCTAGAAGACCCATCATGCAACTGGATCTGATGAACTGTGCCTCTCTGCCGAGGAGGACGTCTGTTGAGTATCTTTGTTTTATCCCCTGAGATTATTAACCCCAGGTCCTGACACGAGGCTAGTACATGATTAAGACTGTTTTGGTTGTTGGAGTGTTGAGAAATGGCATTACCAGTTAAGTTTAAAGAGTTTGTACTTAATTAGAAAGACAATATCCCCTGCAAGCCGCCCTGCGGCGAGGTCTGAGAAGTGCGAAGTATCTTCAGGGGCTGTAAAGTTTTTAAAATTTTGAAGTTTAAAAATTTCCCCCTGGGGGTGTTATGTCAGCATTTTATTCACGTGGCTGCAAATTCATTTTGTTTGGATAAAAAGCCGCCCCTTATGCGACTATAGGTTGATTACAAACCCCTTGGACTCAAGAATGCGCGTCCCCATCTACAGGAAATTCGAAACCCTCCCTTGCTCTTGTAGCGTGAGTAGGGTTTCTTAACCCGAAGATACGGTGATTGATAGAAGCGAAGTGCCTTGGATGTCCACGTCTTCCATAGTCTAGGAAAAGCACACTGTACACTTGTTCCACAAGTTTGTCTTTATTTTTCACAATCTTATCATAAAGAAGTGATACATTCTTTTAAAGTGTTTTTTGGGTTTTTTGTGAGACACTTTGTTCCACTAATGCCAGATCGTTTTTTTTGGTTTCTGGCGTCAGTGTCACTTCGTAGAGTCAAAAAGTAATCTGAAGAGCCACAGTGCCCCATGCCGTCACTCCCCCTTCCCAAAAAAAGTGACATAGTCTTTTGCTTCCTTCCCATTCCCTCGATGAAGCAAAGCAATTTTTTGATTTTGCTGTCTTAAGCATAGACAAAATGCCCAATCTTTACTTGGTAATAATTGGAAGCGGGTTTTTCCCTTAAATTGTCTGAAAGGGTAAGAGATAAACGTTCTTATTAAAATACCTCGCAACCTGGACTGAAAGGAGCAAGGTCGCTTGACCCGTCGCATCTCGTAGGCATCTGTGATAAATTTAAACCACTGTAGAGTAAAA